TTATTTTATCATTACTGAGCTCTACGTACCTTTATATTTTAGTTCACATGACACAAAGTGTCGCCATCTAGTGTCGAATATATTTAATTATATTTGAAAGCCGACGCAAAGAGATTTTTCTAGAACTATTTTAATAAATTAGGTGTAAAAATATTTACAAATGAAATGTGATGCCATCCATAACATCAGAGCGTCTACCTGAGTAGTTTTTACACAATAAAACACAACACTTCATCCTTTTCTTCTTAATACTACGAAAATACACCGATTAGCGATTTTTTCAACACATAAGCGCACAGGACGAATGCTGACAGTATACTAACTAAAGCCACGCCCACTGTGATGACGTCAGGACCTACTTAGAATCACAGTGCACAGTTGCTTATGCCGTCTCCCCTTTGTATTAGCTTCATGATCTGCACAGAGTAAAGAGTAAGGACCTGAGGGGAAGCTTCTTAACAACGTCGAAAATGTATACCTATTCTGATAGGGTTGTCACATAATGCATGTAAAAAATTTAAGGAAAAAATGGTGGTGGTGATATAACCACTGTTGGTCCACTGCCTACTACCACTACCTACGATACTACTACCACCTCCACCACTACTGACACTATCAGCTACACTATCCACCAACACCAGCACCACTTCCACCAACACCAATCCCACCACCCCCACCAATGTCTGGCGATTGTATTCCAACCATAATGCAGTGGTATTTACCCCTAGGGTCGCGACTCACAAAAAGTAGCTTATATCCTTCCCCAGGAAGCAACCTACCTCTATACTAAAGTGGGTGGATAAAATCACACATTTAGCCTTATTACGTAAGATATCCTGCCATCTGTGGCACTGTCAAGGTTAAACTGACTAACGTTTCAAGTAGGTGAGACCGACTTCATCACTCGGCGACGTACCTGTCTAATACATTCTCACTTACCTATCAATGTCATTACCTAGTTTTATTGTATATAATACGTAAAAAGGTTCTTAGTTCACTTGGTCTCCTGGGTACAAAAAAGGAAATATCCTTATTTTCACTAGAATTATTCATGTATACTGTACAACTATTAGACATTTTTGCTTATACAAAACACTTATTATTTACCTATATAAATTTATAATAACTTAATTCTTAATTATTTTGATTAAAATACTTAAATCTAATTATTTAATAATTGCAAAAAAACTTAATAAATTAATTGATGTATAAAATTTCGAAATATTGTTGGTCTATTTATTTAAATGCGCACGACTAACAGCCCTTTCATGGATACTCTGACTGAGCCGGCGCAAACCGGTTTGTACCCCGACGGAGCGTCGGTGAACCTGTCAGTGAGAGCTCACGCAAACATCGCTGTGCTATGTATGGGTGTATTCGCCGCGAGCCGTTTGTATGTAGCTTCCCCTCTGGCCGGTTTCTTTACTCATGTGCTATCTGGGTGACTGGCGGTGTATTAGAGTGCGATTTACCATAAGTTTCCTTCCTCACACAAATTTTTTGCGATGTGGACGTTTTTTTTGAAATGCCGGCAATGCACTTGCAATTTCCTTGGTGTTGCAGTTGTTTATGAGCGACAATAGTCACTTACCATCAGGTAAGCCGCATGGTTGTTAGCCCTCTCTCAATAGAAAAAAAATATTTTAAAAAACTATACTAGATGACACTTGGCCAAAACTTGTTTCGAGGCGATTGACCCTTTAGCTGCGTTCTGTACGATGATGAAGGCCACCCAACGAATGATCGTGGTTACGTACTTGCCACGCAGACAGAAGCAAGTTTGCAATAACCGCATCCAAATCGTGATTAGTTATTTTTCTAAGCATTCTATTTTTATAATTAATAGTTCCCTACTTCAGTTCGAGTTCACGAGTTTATAAGGTGTTTATACATATAACTAAAAACATGCGTGAGTGTCGTGTAACCATAGAATTATTACGCATAGAAACGCAGTCCAGTACAAAACACGAGCGTTAAAATGATGCAAAGTCATAATGTTAGTGGGCGCGAGTCGAATGTGCCTACGCTCGTCACACGCACACATACACGCCATTCAGTGATACCAGTGTCTGGCGTTTGCAATCAAATTGTGCAAAACACTATTTTTTGATTAATTTTAAAAAATCGATATAATGAAGATTACGTATTACGTACGAAGATATATTTTATGAGAATATAAAATAGAATAAAATAAACACGATAATGATGGTACTAATATAACTTAATTATACATATTTTAATGGTACAAAAATACAGACGTAATAAAATTTAAGAATATTGTTAAACACAATTAATTTGCTCGAATACAATAAGCACATCGTGTAATATTTAATTTTAACCGACTTCAAAACAGGAGGAGGTTTTCAATTCGGTGTATTTTTTTAAAATGTTTTTTACCTCAGCATTCTACAATTTCTAAACCGATTTAGATTTTTTTATTTGAAAGGATATACACACATATTGATCCAATATACACGCTGAAATTTTAATGGTTGTTTTCCCGATGTCAAATTATTTTGTCTTGGTAGTAATTATTTTATTAAAATTAGGATGCAAAAATGGCTGATTTACAATCGAAAAAACAAAACTCGAATGCGATCTCAAAACAATAGCAATATCTCGCAAGTAGGTCAGGCGTGCAGGCTAGCTTATACCGTATTACTATAATAAAGTCTGAAAAAAATTCGCTGGATGTAACTTAGTGTTACGTCTATCGCACGCGCTACCACGCGCTGCCTACACAGTGAAGGACCACTAATAAATGTTCAGAACATGAACTCTCAAGCGTAGTGATACGACATAAACTAGTAAATATAGAATTGTCTTAGAAATCAGTGTACATGCATATTGTTAACCTCTCCTTTTTGGGAGTCGGTTAAAATAGAATATGTTTGGGTCTAAAATAACATCTGGTTAATGTTTGGGTGTAAAGTGACATCTGATTAGTTAAGGCGTTCTTATTAATAATATCTTGATGTTGTAAATAGAAAAGTTTTTATTCTATACTCTAAAACGTAGACTTAGTCAATAAACGAAGCAATTAAAATAGTTGCGTTAAAATGGCGTCGGCGAATCGCGATTAGCTGATCACTCCGTATTAGTTTTAAATAGGCACACATTGTTAATATTATGTTAATACTTAGAGAAGTAGGTATCTATATATAAACATTTGAGTTTTACAGAGAGCTTTGCGATTAAACGTTTTAAACACAAATAGAAAATAAATATTTTTAAAAGAAAATTTTTATTTTTCCCCACAACTAGCAACATTTGTATTAGGATAGCTTAGGTAAGTATTTTTTTAGTTTTACGTAGTTATAATGAATTAAATATATAAAATAGTATGTGAAATGCAGTACCATCACTTCTTTTATGTTTATCATCACTGTTGTGACAATCTTTTACAATAAAAACGGTCATTTTTACAATTTTTCGCGAGCTCTTCTCCGTAAGACATGACGTTGCGCACTGACGCGTCGCTGAGTGAACTAACGCGGTTTCGCGTTAGTTTAACTTGCTTCACTTTCCGTGCGCGTACTAGTATTCTATGTGTAATAATTCTATGCGTGTAACACTCTGTTAGAACGACTACGACGAATACGAAAGGAACTACCCTTTAGTATTCGTAGTATATTATTATTGATAAACGTATTATAATATTATTGATTAACATATATATCGGCGCAACAAAGTATAAGCGACGTATCCGGCGCATTACTCAAACAATTATTATCGTGTTAAAAATTAATAAGCGTTATTTCAACTGCAGAAATAACGTTATAACTTGATTGTTTATAACATTTTGTTTTATTTTAAAATTAGTTAATTATTGTTACTTATAAATAAGTTAAAATGCTTTAATTCAAAATATAATTAAAATCAGGTTATCGCGGTAACAATTTGGAAGGTAATTTATTCTCAAGACGCAGGAAGTAGGGATAGCTTCCGCTCGCTTGCGTTGTAGGGATAGCTTCCGCACGCTTGCGTTTGGTTTAAAAGGCGTGCGGCGGCTTAGGCAGCATTCATTCTTGTTCGTGCAGTCGAGCTGTTCAGACCTAGTTAAGTTCGTTAATTATAGATTGTGAATAATTGTTAATAGTGAAGAAACGTTAAATTGTGAATAATTGTGATTAGTAAAACCAGTTAAGATCAAATACGTGTAGTGAGTTTTATTATTAAAAACCATAATGAGTGAACCTAGAAATCATAATAATGACGTCATCGATGATGACGTCATAGTTTTTAAAAACTCTTATGGTGGCCCCACTCCGTCATCAGAAGTGGGATGTGAACAACGCTCTTCCACTGCTGCTCGACCATCTGATATTGAACAACCATCTATGTCGGTCAACACTGAAACAATGCAACAGAATCAGAGTGATAACAGTTCAATGATTAATGTACCATCACAGTTCTTTATGCAAATGATGCATATGATGCAAAACATGTCGGATCGACTAACTACTCCATCGGAAACAAAGGTGAGAATTAATGATATTTATCTACCTTCATTTGATCCAGATACAAACGTTGGAGTACGTGAATGGTGTCAACATATTAGTAAAGCAATTCAGACGTACCACCTCAATGATTTTGATATACGCATGAAAGTTGGCAGCTTATTGAAAGGACGCGCTAAAATGTGGGTCGACGATTGGATGATAACTACATCTACTTGGGAAGAACTTCGCAACAATCTTATAACTACATTTGAACCAGAAAACCGGTATTCTCGGGACATATTAAGATTCAGGGAACATGTTTTTGATTCTTCAAAAGATGTAGCGGAATTTTTATCGCGAGCCTGGGTACTATGGAGACGAATTACCAAAGACAAGTTACCTAATGAAGACGCAGTTGAGGCTGTAATTGGTTGCATTAGTGACGAACATTTACGGATCGAACTATTAAACGCGCGCGCAACAACAGTGCCAGAACTTATATCTATTGCATCCTCAATACGATTAAAGCGCGTTCATCCATCAAATAGTAGTATGACGATGCCAAACAAACGTCCGCGTTTATCAAACAATAGTAATGCTCACGCTCTATCATTCTGTCACATCTGTAAAAGGAAAAACCATTCTGCCGATGAATGTCGTTTCAAACCAACGGCATTAAATCAGGAACAATATAGTAAAAGAGGTGAAAGTAATAGTAAACCTACCTGCACATTTTGTCAAAAATTAGGACATACTTACGACCAATGTTTTAAGCGTGATCGTTCTTTGACATCAAATATAAATCACATCGAAGGTACAAAACTCGCCCCTTTAACTATCAGGATAGGAGTAAAAACTTTACGGGCAGTGTTTGACAGTGGTGCAGAATGTTCAGTTATACGGGAATCTGTAGCCGCTGCTCTGCCTGGACAAAGAGTTCAAACGGCTAACTACTTGAGAGGTATTGGACGATTTCCCGTATTATCACTCACGAGTTTACTGACTATATGTGTCATAGATGATATCAGCGTAGAAATTCAGTTTTATGTTCTGGCTGACTGTGAGATGTCGACGGACATTCTGGTTGGCATGAATTTGATTAAAGGCACAAACTTGAGTGTTATAGTAACGTCTAGCAAAACAAAATTAGTGCACCAAGGACTTATCAATCATATCACTACAAATAGTCCAATATTTGGAAAACTAGACTGTGATCTTTCCGACCCTGAAGAGATCAAACAACTTCGCATACTCCTTAATAAGTATGAACACTTATTTATTCGAGGATACCCTAAAACCCGAGTTAACACGGGTATGTTGGAAATCAGATTAAAGAATCCGGACAAATACGTAGAACGAAGACCATACCGCCTCAGTCCAGTGGAGAGAGAAAAGGTTCGTACCATTGTCAACGAATTATTGAAGCACAATATTATACGTGAGAGCAAATCCCCATACTCTAGCCCAATTATCCTAGTTAAAAAGAAGAATGGAGATGACCGCCTTTGTGTAGACTTCCGCGAGTTAAATGCTAATACCTTGCGGGACCATTACCCACTTCCACTCATCTCCGATCAAATCGATCAGCTGGCCAATGGACTCTACTTCACCACATTTGATATGGCGGCAGGTTTCCATCAAATACCTATTTCGGAGAGTTCCATAGAGAAGACTGCATTCGTTACGCCTGATGGATTATACGAATACCTTACTATGCCATTTGGTTTATCCAACGCGTGTGCAGTATACCAAAGATGTATTAATAGAGCATTGTTTTCGTTACTGGGCAGTGCTGCTCAAGTTTACGTCGACGATGTCTTGAGCAAAAGTGCTGATTTTACTCAAGGACTAATAAACATTGAACGCATTCTCATAGCATTACATAAGGCTGGGTTTTCTATCAATGCGGATAAGTGCAGCTTCTTCAAACGCTCAATAGAATATTTGGGTAACGTTGTTTCAAATGGTCAAATCCGTCCAAGTCCAAAGAAAGTTGAAGCTCTAGTCAAGGCACCAGTACCGAATACTGCTAAAAAGGTAAGACAGTTCAATGGTTTAGCTGGATATTTTCGTAAATTCATCCCCGATTTTTCCCGTATAATGATGCCCTTGTATGAGTTGACTAAACAAGGTGCTAAATGGGAGTGGAATGATCGACACGAAGAAGCACGTAATAAGATTTTTTTTTTTTTTTTTTTTTATAGGAGAGGGGGCAAACGAGCATGCGGCTCACCTGATGGTAAGTGACTACCGCCGCCCATGAACAACCGCAACACCAGGGGAATTGCAGATGCGTTGCCGGCCTTTTAAAAAGGAGTAGGCTCTTTTCTTGAAGGTCCCTAAGTCATATCGGTCCGGAAAAATCGCTGATGGTAATCGATTCCACAAGGAAGTCGTGCGAGGAAGAAAACATCTTCTAAATCGCACAGTGGTGGACCGCCAATCATCCAGATGGTGTGGATGGTATCGGGAGTTCTGCCGCGATGTGCGTTCATGAAATTTGGCGGCTGGGATTAATCCGAACAATTCCTCAGAGCACTCCCCATGGTAGATGCGAAAGAAAATGCAAAGAGATGCAACATCTCTTCGCAGTGCCAATGAATCGAGCCGATCGGAAAGGGCTCGGTCGTCGACGATTCGAGCCGCTCTGCGCTGGATGCGGTCAAGTGGAAGGAGCTGGCACTGGGGAGCCCCTGCCCAGAGATGGGAACAGTATTCCATGTGAGGCCGAACCTGCGCCTTGTAAAGTTGCAGGCGGTGTGCCGGCATGAAATACTGTCCCGCTCTGCTGAGCACGCCAAGCTTTTTAGAGGCCAATTTGGCCTTCTCTTCCAAGTGACCACGAAACTGCACGTCACTCGATATGTCGACTCCGAGGATACCGATACTGGCTGAGGCAAGAAGGGGAGTGCCTTGAAACTGAGGAGATACGACAAAGGGGTTCTTTTTAGCGGTAAACGCGCAAACTTGTGTCTTCTGAGGATTAAACTGGACTAGATTTAGTCGCCCCCAATCCGAGACTTTGTCCAGCAAAGACTCGACTTCAGACACAAGTTTGTTCCGGTACTCGGCGACGTTTTCCCGAGAAATATTGGCCCGGCCGGTGTATAGAGCATCACCAGTGCTGTCATCCGCATAGCAATGAATGTTACCAGTTAGCAACATATCATTGATATGCAGAAGAAACAGCGTTGGTGATAGCACACAGCCTTGTGGAACACCAGCGTTAATAGGCTTGTAGTCAGAACATGCACCGTCTACAACGACCTTGATGCTCCGATCTGCAAGGAAGCTGGTGATCCAATTGCACAATTTCTCGGGAAGCCCATAGGAAGGGAGCTTCGAAAGAAGCGCTTTGTGCCAAACCCGATCGAAGGCCTTCGCAATGTCCAGACTAACGGCCAACGCCTCCCCCTTGGACTCTACTGCCTCCGCCCATCTATGGGTCAGGTAGACTAGAAGATCACCAGCTGATCGACCCCGACGAAAACCGTATTGGCGGTCACTGATCAGCTGGTGATCCTCAAGGTACCGGATGAGCTGGCAGTTAATAATGGATTCCATTATTTTGGAGAACAAGGAGGTGATCGCGATAGGCCTATAGTTGGACGGGTCTGAGCGGTCGCCTTTTTTAGGGATCGGGTGGACAAAAGCTGTCTTCCATGAGTTCGGGACAACGCCATGGGAGTAGGAGTACCGGAAAAGACGCGTTAGAACCGGTGCCAACTCCGGAGCACACGTCCTCAGCACAATTGGGGGGATTCCGTCAGGCCCACTCGACTTGTGGATGTCAAGGGAGAGGAGTGCTCTGCGAACCGAGCGCTGTGAGAATAGCACATCCGGCATAGAGCACTCACACCGCGGGATGGTCGGCGGTGTGTTCCCCCCGTCATCAACAGTCGAGTTGGACGCAAAAAGGGAGCCTAAAAGGTCGGCCTTCTCTTTTGCGTCGCTGGCCAGTGAGTCGTCCTCCCTGTGCAGAGATGGTAGTGATGGCTTACAGAAATTCCCTTGGACAGCCTTGGCGAGAGACCAGAATGCACGGGTTCCCGAAGGAAGGCGAACTAGTTTCTCGCCAATTCTGCCTATGTGCTCTGACTTTGCCTTGGCAATAACTCTTTTGAAGGACCTGGAGGCGAAGTTATACTTCTTTTTAAGTGTGCTGGTGTTTACATCCCGAGTCACCGAAGCCGCAGCCCAGGCTTGATAACACTCCTGCTTTCTGCGCAATGTAGTCTTACAGGAGCGACCAAACCAAGGCTGAGACCTGCCTCCGATGGGTACCACAGATGATGGAATAAATAGTTCCATTCCCTGTAGCACCACATCAGTGACAGAGTCAGCAACAGCGCTGGGATCATCCGGCGAGAAGCAAACCCGCCCCCATGGGTAGGATGCAAAGAAAGACCGCATTCCGTCCCAATCCGCCGACCTGTAATGCCAAACACGGCGGCAACCTGCAGAACGCAACCGCGAAGGGAGCGTGAGTGGCAACATCAGTAATCCAATGTCTGACATCATCTCCTGTGTTAACAATATTTCAAGAAGAAGCACCCATAGAATTATACACGGATGCAAGTAGCTTGGGATTCGGTGCCGTTCTAGTACAAATTATCAACAAACGTCAACATGCAATCGCCTTCATGAGTATAAGAACTACTGATACTGAAAGCAGATATCACTCGTACGAACTAGAGACCTTGGCGGTAGTGCGTGCAATAAAACATTTTCGGCAGTATCTGTATGGATGGAAATTCAAAATTATAACCGATTGCAATGCCTTAAAGGCATCTAAGCACAAAAAGGATCTCCTTCCAAGAATTCATCGGTGGTGGGCGTTTTTACAGAACTATGATTTTGAAGTAGAATACCGCAAAGGAAATCGCCTGCAACACGCCGACTTCTTTAGCAGAAATCCAAGTAGTTGTGAAGTTAATATAATGACAAGAGACTTGGATTGGTTGAAGGTGGAACAACGCAGAGATGAGACATTGCGTCGCCTGATGGACAGCTTCAACAACGGAAATCCAGTAGATGGTTACCTTCTAGAAAACGAAGTTTTAAAACGAATCGTGAGAGACCCAATTTTTGGACAGCAAATCTGTGTTGTAGTTCCTAGATCTTTCCAGTGGAGTATAATAAATTCATTTCATACAGCGCTTAAACACCCTGGATGGGAAAAGACTCTACATAAGATCAAAGAATCTTACTGGTTTGACAAAATGAGTACCCTGGTGCGCAGGTTTGTGGACAACTGTATAGTGTGTAGAACATCAAAAGGAACATCGGGCGCTGTACAAGCTCAACTACATCCAATCCAAAAGCCAACTACAGCCTTTCAAGTGATACATATGGATATCACTGGCAAGCTCGGTACTACAGATGCCCAGCAATATGTCGTAGTAACTGTCGATGCTTTCTCAAAATATGTGCTGTTTTATTATGCTACCGATAAGAGTCCGCACAGCACATTAGCTGCACTAAAACGTACTATACACCTATTTGGAACACCACTTCAAATAATTGTGGATGGAGGCAGAGAATTCTTGGGGGAATTCAAGACTTATTGCCAACAGCTAGGAATAGACATCCATGATATATCACCAGGAATCAGCCGAGCTAACGGACAAGTTGAGCGAATAATAGCAACGCTTAAGAACGCATTAATAATGATAAAAAATTATGAAACGGAACAATGGCATACTGCATTAGAAGAACTTCAGTTGGCCATGAATTGTACTGCTCATCGAGTAACAGGTGTCGCTCCCCTCACTCTACTCACAAGACGAAAACACTGTGTTCCACCGGAACTACTCGGATTAGTAAATATGGATAATCAAACTATTGATATTGACGCCCTTTCCAGACATGTGCAGAATAGAATGTCTCAAGCATCGGAACAAGATAGACAACGATTTAATCAACGAAAAGCTAAGATCTATCATTTTCAAAAAGGAGAATACGTACTTATCAAAAATAATCCACGCAATCAAACCTCATTAGACCTATGAGATCATCGATGATGACGTCATAGTTTTTAAAAACTCTTATGGTGGCCCCACTCCGTCATATACAAATAAATTAATTACTAGCATCTATTAAAATGAAGCGTCATCTATACAAATAAATAAAATTGAAGTGTCTGTTTGTAATGTTAAAATAACAGCTTTTTACTAAATGCATATGAAAGTATTTATGATACTTATAACAAAAAAAAACACAATTTTTAAAATTTTTGTCTGTCTGTCTTTTTGTCTGTTTGTTCCGGCTAATCTCCGAAACGGCTGGACCGATTTTGACGGGATTTTCACTGACAGATAGCTAATGTTATAAGGATTAATTTAGGCTGCTTTTATTTAAGTAAAAGAATTAGGGTTCGGCACAAAAAAATTAAAACCCATGAAATCCAATAGTAACACGGGCGAAGTCGCGGGGAACAGCAAGTTTAAATTAAAATAATATTTCTTTCATGGCAAGATAAGAAAAATTCTTCCTTGTAGCCGCCAAGGGAGTCTACACTAGGTACGTCAGAAGCGGTCGTGACGGATAAATCTTACACTTTTTGTCGTCTAGGCCCCATCCGCCAAATCCGTACCGTCCGATAAAGAACTTCGTTCCAATAATAAAAATACAACGAACATTACCCAGTGACCATAATCAAGTATTTTAATTAAAGAAGAGCGTTGTTTCCGAGCACAAGCAAGATCATTTGCTTATAAGGAAGCTAAACTTATTTAAAATTGTATTAGGCTAAGTTGTCGAAACTATTTTTATTTGTATTAAATAACAACCATTTTCAAATTATTTTCAGCTCTGTGACAGTACTGATGGAGGGAAAGCGCCACGGATACTTCTTAATGATGGCAACACCATGCCCGTTTTGGGGCTAGGCACGTTTTTAGGTTTTGATGAGGTAGGCTATGAAATTTTGTCAGCTAAGCACAGGCTTCGGTTTTATTTTAAAGCTATAATATACATCATTGTATAAGTATGACTGTGACACAATTAATACGCTAATTTATTTTTATAATTTGTCTTAAAAAGGCGGATTTCTATATTTAAGGAACGTTTCGTTCTCCGTAACGATCCGTTTTATTGCATACGAGTAGCATGTAAAAACAGTTTATTACTGCAGCTCATGGATGCTTGCAAAAACAATCTATCTATTACAAATCTATTAGATTTAGCCTTTTAACAACATTATTTTTAATACTTCTCATCCCTTAGGCAAGACCGTGTCCAGAGTATCTCTATTTCCAGAACTTTCAGTGATAGGTTTTCGTAATATTTTAAATCTTCAATAATATTTCATATCAGCTAGTTTTCACATCTTTAACATTTTTTACTACCATCATTCAAAAAATTTGTCGGACATTCATTTTCATAATGCCGCCCCATAAAATATGCCGCTAGAGGTCACGGCACCCACGCCAAAAGTTTAGAAAATAATTAAACTGGAATTTATAAAAGGATATTTCCTTACAGAATGGGCAAAAGGAAGTAAAAGAGAACGAAGTTGAACTTCCAGTGCTGTGGGCTCTTAACTCTGGTTACAGGTAATTTTTTTTATCTTTCCTCCGACTTTTGTATTTCAACCGACTTTACAAATGAAGTCGACTCTTATAAAGGGGCAAATTATTTAATTTCACTGATAGAAAGTTAGAATATTCCCGAGGAATAGAGATAAAATACTTGCTTTGTTGTTGGTGTCTAAGATATCTCGTACGTTTCTAAAGTCAAAATCAGATAGAGTGTTAAAATAACTGACGGCTCCGTGGCGCAATGGCTTAGCAATGCGTTGCTGCGCTGGGGGACGCGGGTTCGAATCCCACACGGAACAAGTATTTGTATGGCCTACAAATTATTCTACCGGGTTTGGATGTTTGTCCTTGTGCAATTTATGTTTGTAAACTGCCTCCACGACACAGGAGAAAATCCTAGTGTGGGGGTAACGTTTTTTTAAAAAAAAGAAAAAAATTGTGCTTTTAAACTGCCTCCACGATACAGGAGAAAATCCTAATGTGGGGATAAGGTTTTTCAAAAAAAAAAAAACTAGAGCATCAGAATATTCTCTTTTCTTAGTAAACTCTGCCAAGACATCATTCAACTTCGACTAAATAGATATTAATATATTAATTAATAGCACTTACGTACTAAATTAAGGAATTACACATAACTCTTTTCATGAAAAGAGTTGACAGTCTAGTATTTTGTTTCTCTATCTTTGTGATACAGCACCGCCCATATTCGTCGAAATCAAAGGCTTTCCCATAGACTACATACATACGCGAGACAAGGTGGCAGATTTTACTCTTCGGTCTTCTGTATAATTTGCCGGAGGGTAAATGTATGCTTTATGGTACCAAAGTCTTCTTTATTTATGTCGTCTACTGCTTTTCGAGGCTTTAGATTAGAGCACGAGGGCCGGAACGTTGACTTTTTTTAGATATGACCACTCACCATTCGACTCCCACCATTCGGCGATTACTAAAACATCACTGGACAGTTGTTGCTTAGTCACCTAAGTTAAGTCAATGTCATGTTTTGTCGAACCGGAGGGGATAGATCAGGTCCACTTACTGTGGGGCCGAATCTTGAATAAAGAGTTCATCACAAAGAAGCTTCTCGGTGAAGTCAGCCAGTTGCTGAACTGTAAATTTCCGTTGCCCTATTCCAAATTTTCCCACCTGTAAATCTTCGTCTTTTCTTGTACCTATTTTCGTATTAAAGTCTCCTATCAACACAGTGTAATGAATTTTGGGGGAATGAGTGGCTCTACTAACTGACTATCCTCATACATTGCTACCGTCTTCTTATCAGGGTGTGTCAAGGTATCTTTAAGAATTATCAAATACTTTCTCATGTAATTATAACGCATTACAGATTAATAGACACGGCTGCAATGTATCAAAATGAAGAACAAATCGGCCGAGGTCTTAAGAAGTCATCGGTGCCGAGAGAAAACGTTTTTATAGTCACCAAGGTAAGGTTACCAAGATTTCTACTGAAGCCAATATACAAAGTTATTTTTCAAAGAGTATTCGTATTTTATATTTAAGTTTAATTATATAAATAATGATATACCGTTATTGCAATTTTTGATACTACGAGTAAATAAGGCTTCTACTTTTATTTGAAATTATCCCAAATTAAAAGTGATTTATGGACAACTACAAGCGCGTACGCGCGAATGTGCAATTCAATTCACAACGTTTTTGCCAACCGAGCGACACTTACGAATGTGTGCGTGCGTAGTAAAATAGTAGGCGTTAGATATTTATGATCGTCAGGTAAAATAATGCATTACCACGCATTTTGAATTTAAAAGTAAAACTGGAAAGAATATATTACTTACTCTGAATCTTTTCTGAATTTTTATTGTTTTTATTTTCTTCTTTTTTTACCTTTATTGGGCGTATATTGGAAAGTAAAACTGTGTAACTTCTTCTTTTTCGCCGTCATCAATTGTAGAGAGGCCTTAATCTTCACGCTGGGCAGGTGGATTGACGTTCGCAGTACTAGACATTCTGCACCATTTATGCTGCTTCTCGTTTCCTATTTGAGTATTTTACGTCTGGTGTAAACGAGATGATAACAACGCCATCTATCGGAAGCAATAAGGTTTTTTGGTATCTCCCATAGTCGCCTTTTACACCTATCGACACCCCATGGTATTAAATGTGGTGATGGAATTTATATTTATTTTGTTATTAAATATTTTCACCTAATTTCAAAAAGATTATCTACTCAAAGTGACGTATTATTATAATAATCTGTGCTTGAGGCAATGTTTTCCTTTTGAGCACAAAGTAAGCGTGCGACATTCGATGGACAAAAAGTTACTTTGTTTGACACGTTTTGTTTATTGTCATGAAATAAAGAATCTAAATCAATATGCAGCCGATGAAGAATCTTATTCGAAAACATACCTTTCATATTACTATCTAAACAAATTTTAAGGTTATCGCTTAAAAAAAACGTACATCGAAGAACTAGAACGTCGAAGTCTTTTCCCGGCTATTAAATTATATTCTTTTTTTAATATAAGTTCTTACTACCTCACAGGGTGTTAGTCCCTTCCTAGACTAAACCGTTACCCGAAGAGACATAGTCTACCTTTTACCCTTCACGGTGAGGCTTCTTTTGATATACAAAAACTATATAACAACTTCCAATAATCAAAATTAATAAGGAAAATGATTAGTGTGTACGTTGGCAACATTCATATTATCAACTCACCTAGTTTCTTCATCTCTTCAGGCGTCAATTCAAAGTCAAATACGTTGATGTTCTCCTCCACACGTTCCTTGTGAACTGATTTAGGGATTGGAATAACGCCGTACTGGATCTGGAATGGTAAATGAAAATAGAAAATTAAGAGCTTAAAACACCCTTTATTCAACTTACTTACCACCAAACTTAGGCCCGTATTAATATACGTTACTCAAAGACGATGACTAATCATTTGATACGCTCTCATTACGATATTAGCATCTCAAGATCGTTGCTAATTATTAAACACATAAAAACAGTATCTAAAGTAAAAAATCCATTGGATTAAGAATTTAATTGAGTATTTCATGTATGCGCATATTTTTAAGTATATTCTATTTCAAGACGTATCATTTCTCGAGCGTAAAGCTCGTGTCTAAATTACGATATTTTGTCACAGATTACTTAATAGTTTACTTTGTCCAACCTAGCCTTAAAGAGCTGATAGCGATTCATCAATGTATGTTATTTGTTTCAGCTTCGTGTGAATGAACAGCGACATGTTATGGATTCTCTAAAGGCGTCACTGGCTCGTCTCAACATGTCATACGTGGACCTCTACCTTATTCATTTCCCTGTGGCGTATAAGGTGCAAAACAATGATTGATTTTATTAAAATCTTCTTGATGATGTTCTAGTTTTATGACAAGTATTAAATGCAACCTAAAATACAAAAATACTACTAATGTCGCTTACTAATATGATTACAGTCCATTACAAGTCCACTGCTGAACAAAGGCTTCAAAAGGTACGGTCCTGAGCCACCTGCACCCATCGACTGAGTCGCCTGCGTCACTAGGTAAGTGAGGGGTTGCTCAACACTGCACTTGCCAGTACGAGTCTGCCATTAGAAAACCTTTTTTCCCCATCGGTTGTCGGTTCTTCGAGCTATATGGCCAGCCCATTGCCACTTCAGTTTACTAATCCTTTGGGCTACGTCAGTGACTCTTGCTCTTCTGCGGATTTATAAAAACGAATAAATACAAAAAAATATTTCTTTATTTATAAATCGTTACATTAAAAACATTTGAAAGAAATTAATATTCAATCTATTGCTAGTGGATTTTAGACGGGCATATTAAGTTGTAAACGTGCATTTTACGTCACCAAACGCAATATCTAATGTTCCTTAACAGCCTGACTTTAGCGGCTTCGATGTTGTGGACTACTTAGATACGTGGAAGAGCATGGAGGAAGTGAAAAGGCTCGGACTGGCGAAGTCCATCGGAATCTCCAAATTCAACATCAGTCAGATCGACAGGCTCCTTGCCAACTGTGAGATTAAACCAGCCGTTTTGCAAGTAGAAGTAAGTACAATCTATCTCTTCGCATTTGAAATTAACAGAACCACTCCACTTTCCTAAAAAATTAAGAGAAATACGTGTTCGTATGGTCTCCCTATATCATGATGGTCACCCTAAAACGGAATGGTCTTCCTACAACGGGCTGATCTCCTACATTAGAAAGGTCGCGCGAGAACGGAATAGTCTCTACAACGGGATGGTCTCCTTTCAACCGATGGTCTTTTTACAACGGGATAGTCTCCCTACAATGGAATGGTCAGGTGATGAAGAGTTATCGCTTTGCTGCTCAAATGCGTGTTGGTAGATTTCACATGCCCTCGAAAATATTTTATTTCACACGCATGCCGGTTTTTTCACGATACTGTGGTAGAATGTGGTTTACAGAACTTCAGATTGATATTTTCATTGATGCTGGAGGGTTCAAACACAGGTTGCTGGCGTACTGTAAAAATTTAACCTTGAAGAGCCACGCTCGGCTCAAGCGGGGAATGATCACGCTCTCACAGAATACCATGTATTTAATATGGTGAGTGTATGAACCGCAGACCCTTTTTACTGAAAACGAGATATTCCATCTTAGTCCTCAGGGGTAACTAAACGAATACTGATTTAACGAATATTGATTTTTATTCAAGGATAAAATAATATGTATTTATATGGGCCACTGCATACACCATAGCGTCACCCTTATTCTATATATAAAAAAAATATTCTAAAAAAAATCACTATGAACTACCACAGCTCTTAAATACTCTGTTCAACTTACTTAATTACTCTGTAAAGTTTATTATTCTAGGTTAATTTAAATCTGGCGGAAAAAAAACTTTTGGAGCGCGCGAAGAAGGATAACATAGCTGTAATGGCATATTCGCCATTTGGGTCGCTTTTTAGCAAAAGCGACATCCCACCGCCTCCAAGGAAGGACAACCCTGTTCTTGTCCAAATAGCCAACAAATACGGAAAGACCACGCCGCAAATAGTTTTGAGATATCTGGTGAGTTCATACAAATTTTATAAGATTTTCCTAGGACGGATTCCAGGCAAATAATTCTTTTTCTAAATTAAAAGTAGCCTAAATTACTCCTTACGACATCAGCTATCTGCCAGTGAGTCCCGTCAAAATCGATCCAGTCGTTTTGGAGATTAGCCGATAAACAGACAGACAGACAGACAAAATTTAAAAAATTGTAGTTTTTTATAAGTACTGTAAATATTTTCATGTGTATTTAGTATAAAAACTGTAACTTTGACATTACAAACAGACACTTCAATTTTATTTATTTGTATAAATATAAATGGGTAATTTATGAAACGTACATTAACTAAAAGGAAAAGATAAAGTGTGCTAACAAACTTTAAGGCCCGTATTAATGAACGTTACTCAGCTCAAGTACACGCACTTGAGTAAAATCTTGTTTATGATCTTATTAGTAAACATATCTCAAGATGTGGTTTAGGTTTACGATATCAGCTGAGTGCCACACTGATTAATAAACGAAACTCGACTCTCAAGTGTGTGTACCTACTTGAGTGCAAGTCACAGAACAGTATTCCTAAGTACAGCGTTTTGAGATACTGTTTTTATGTGTTTAATAATTAGCAACGATCTTGAGATGCTAATATCGTAATGAGAGCGTATCAAATGATTAGTCATCGTCTTTGAGTAACGTATATTAATACGGGCCTAAGTTTGGTGGTAAGTAAGTTGAATAAAGGGTGTTTTAAGCTCTTAATTTTCTATTTTCATTTACCATTCCAGATCCAGTACGGCGTTATTCCAATCCCTAAATCAGTTCACAAGGAACGTGTGGAGGAGAACATCAACGTATTTGACTTTGAATTGACGCCTGAAGAGATGAAGAAACTAGGTGAGTTGATAATATGAATGTTGCCAACGTACACACTAATCATTTTCCTTATTAATTTTGATTATTGGAAGTTGTTATATAGTTTTTGTATATCAAAAGAAGCCTCACCGTGAAGGGTAAAAGGTAGACTATGTCTCTTCGGGTAACGGTTCAGTCTAGGAAGGGACTAACAGCCTGTGAGGTAGTAAGAACTTCTACATTTATACCATATACTTTTATACGTGGTAGAGTCATGCTTCAGCTATATGAATTGTATAGTTGTAGCAAGAATGGGTCGGCTCGATCGGCGAAGGAACTCGCTCTCACAGAATACCAGCGTAAAATAGCAGCTTAACACTGCTGTGTTTCGTATGGTGAGTGTAGAGTACCGGAGATCCTGAGAAAGAAAGAAAAAGACTGATTTTACTACCCAGTTTGCTCCGCTTAATAATAATTGATTACCTAACTACTAATAAGTAACTAAATATGTAGTAATTTAATAATTTAATTCCATTTTCAAAAAAAGTCGTTACAGTAATCAGACAAAATAGAAAGATGGACGGAGCGCTGCGTATACTCGTATTTCAATTGACACTGAAACCATACTCTACTTCTGGCCGCTTTAACGCACACATCTTTCATCTTTCTTTCTTTATCAGCTCGTAAAAGTTCATTACTGCACACACACATGCACCTTAACCATGTTGTTGGTTGCTAATGGTTATAGATGATTATGGGTACGTGAGTGCGTGCTCTTAAAATAAGTTGAGCATGGTTTTGGCTTGGTTTTTGAATCACTTGAAGTTTGCGGAGCGTTGTCTCACACCCGTGCCTCGGAAAGCACGTGTCGGTTTACCATCCCTTCGGACTATGAGAGCGAGGGAATAGACGGTGCACATGTGTTTGCATATACACTTGGGCACTATAATCCTGTCCTGCGCCGATAGCTGGTCTCCGTTGAGGGTAGCCGCCAGGACTGCAGGACACTAAAGTTATTAGTGATAAGAATCAAACGATAATAATCGAGCTTTATATGTCTTTTTTTCAGCTGAGTTCAACAAGGACTACAGAGTCGTATGGCCAAGCTTCTCTCAGGACCACCCCTACTACCCTTTCGAGAGAAAAGATGTGTCCGATACAGATCTTTTTAAAATGGGGAAAAGACTGAATGAATAAAGTTTAAACTTAATTAATATGTAATGAAGTGATTGAGTAAATCTCTATTTTTGTATCGTGTCCCCTTTTCAGATGTTTCTTGTAAAACACATGTAAAAACCTTTGCTTTTTCCTAACAAATATCGCTTTTTTATTTTTCATCTTTTTTCTTGACTTTAATTTCCCTAATGTTGGAGTTTTCTCCTGTGTTTTAGATGCATTTTGTATGAATAAATTGCACATGATGTATAGATAAATACACAGACAGATTGCAAGAAATGATAGCAACACAACAAAAAAGAGTAAAATTACAGCCTACATACTTTCCACTATTGCTCCGAGAGCTCATGACACATTTTTCATCAAGTGTTTGATGCATCATGAAACTTTCTTGAAAAGTATCAGTCCACTCAATAAGCAGGTATATGATTGTTTGCCAGGCCTACCTGGGTACACCTGGTACTGCGCATACAGGTCAGTCGCAAAAAAATGCCCAAAAAGTCAGCTAGAAAGAATTAAGAAAGAAAATGGCAGACACTTCTGAAGGAGTATTATTGAAAAGGGTTGTATTTTCAAAAATTCCAAAAAAAGTGTTTGATTTAATCTGCAAAAATTGAACAAAAAATTGTCGCAAAAGGGCAGACAGTTTCTCCGGGGCTTAATAATTTTTAAATCTATACAAAAAAATAAAATTGAAGTGTCTGTTTGTAATGTCAAAATAACAGCTTTTTACTAAACGCATATGAAATTATGGAATAGAAAAATAGAAAATGTATTTATTTAACCAAAAAAACATTACATAATTAAGCAATACACTGGTTTCTGCACTGAGCTCTAGGCTTGTATCGCAGGAACCAAGAACATTGACTGACACCGTTTACACCGATAAATACATAGATCACCGATTAAATTAAAATAAAGCAAAAAAAAAAACATTTTTTTTGTATAAATTAATGCATGAAAGAAAGAAAAAAAATAGCTAATTTACTCTAGGAGTGCTTGCATGCGTGCGTGCGTGCGTGTGTGCGCGCGCGTGTGTGTGTGTGTGTGTGTGCGTGTGCGTGTGCGTGTGTGTGTGCGTGCGCGCGTGTGTGTGTGTGTGTGTTTGTGTGTATGGGGGGGTTCGTTCTTGCGCGTGTGTGTGAGTGAGTGTAAGTCTACGCGTGTGCATGTATAGGGTCAACTATGAAAGGAAAGTAAGTTTTCCGTTTCCTGATAAGAAATATATAGCAACCAGGTTGTTATTTTGTGTTTGACTTTACTTGTGGACTAAGACCTCAAATCTGGGAAGAGACAGCAGAATTTGTTGTAAATGCTAGGCAGAAGAAATGGTGAGTGGCGTTTGATAAAGCTACTGTGTGAATTGGGAATCGGTACTCGAAATATCCGACGTTGGCACAGGCTAAGATAATCCGGGGAATTTATTATTTTTCTGTGGGTTAGAATATCTGCCTTTAAAATGTAGATTTGGCGAACCCGTAGCACCTTATATTCCTTGTACTCGTACAGTTCGTCAGTAGGAAATCTAAAGCTTTTAGACAGCATTACTTTTAGTACTGATCGCTGGGCCCTCTCGACTTCAAGCATTTTAGTTTTGATAGCTCCACCCCAAGCCAGCGTGCAGTAGTATAGTAGGGATTGGGTCAGTGCTTTGTAAACCATTTTCATTGTTTTTTTAGTAGCACAGCGTCGCAAAGCTTTCATTATGTAAATGGTTTTCCTAACACTACCCGACAAGCGGCTTAGATGGTTTTTAAATGATAGCTTATCATCAATGATCACTCCTAGATACCTGATGTTATCTGTGTTGCTGATTATATTACATCCGCAAAAGGGTACTTCAGATTCGCAAGTGTGAATTACTAAGTTTACCAGCGAAAATGGTTTTGATGCGAGAGTTTTGTGAAAGGCTATGAACTTAGATTTTTTATAGTTTAGAGTTAGTAAATTGGAACTTAACCATTAATTCAACACTACCATGCTTTTTTGAGCCGTCTCGGGTACGCTGTCCCAAGTTAAATCATTAAATATAATGGCTGTGTCATCCGCATAGCATATGACGTCTGCTCTTAGTATGGGTAATTCTAGGACGTCATTAATGTAAATGCATAATAGGATTGGACCAAGAATACTGCCTTGAGGAACTCCAATACTAATTTTTAATTGCTTACTTGTATGTGAGTCCACTCTTATGCATTGACACCGATTTAAGAGATAGCTACGGAACCAAGCCAACGCCACTCCTCTAATTCCTTTTGTTTCAAGCTTCCGCAGCAGTATAGGGACCGACACGGTGTCGGAGGCCCTAGCAAGGTCTAGGAAGATACCTAAACAGCTGCGTTAATTGTCCAAATATCTAGACACAGCATCTGTCAGTAGAACTATCGCATCCTCCGTGGACTTACCCCTCCTGAAGCCAAATTGATTTACAGAGAGCAGATTATTATTTTCTATAAAGTTGGTGAGGCGCTTGCTTACAATTTTTTCCAGTAACTTGGAAAATATACTTAGCAAAGATATGGGCCTGTAATTGCTAGGACAGTGTTTATCCCCATCTTTGTGTATTGGAGTAACAACTGCTAATTTCCAACAAATAGGAAAAATGCCACATAACAAGCTAAGATTAAATATGTGGGTAAGTGGTTGCAGAACTGTGTGTTTTATGTGTTTAATCAACCTTGGGGTGCAGCCATCGATACCCGGTGCAGTATCGTTTTTTAGCTGGTCAATTAGGGTACCAACTTCATAAGGATCCGTTGGCTGCAGAAAGAGGGAGTCCTTGCAAAGCACTCTTGGTTTGTATTCTGCAGCTAACAGGTCTTCTTGGGTGTTTAATCTACTGAGCCTGTCATCAGCCAGTTCTCTGCCAACTCTAGTAAAGTACTCGTTACAAGCGTTTAAAGAAGAATCTGGGTCTTTGTTTACGGACAACAATTCAGTAGCCTCGGTAGAGTTACGTGAGCGATTACATATATTTTGGAGTGTTTTCCACAATTTTTTTTGGGTTATCTTTATTTTGCTCAATTTGGGTATTCTCGTATTCGGTCTTTAATTTTCGTTGTAGCGCGTAAAGGAAGTTTCTTCTATCGTTTATAAGTTATTTGGATAAATGTATTATAAGGGTTTCTCCTGGCTTCGAGATGGAGACTGTTACGGTGATTTTGGCATCTCATTAAGCCTGGAGTTATCCATGGTTTTATAACTCGTTCTGACCGTTTGGGCACCACATAAAGCCAGCACCACATATATTCGGTATTTATAAAAATGAGACATTTTTTTTATGGCTGGACCGATTTTGACTGGACATTCAAGTGTAGGGTGCTTATTGAGTGGACTGATACTTTTCAAGAAAGTTTCATGATGCATCAAGCACTTCATTAAAAATGCGTCATGAGCTCTCGGACCATATTGGGCACATACCTTCTCTAATTTTTGAGAGGGTTATAGGGCAAGGTAATGTTCACCAAGCTGCTCCAACGCGTGTTGGCGGACTTTGAAATATTTTATTTTAATTTCTCAGACATGCAGGTTTCCTCACGACATTTTCCTTCACCGCTGAGGACATAGTAAATCAGCACTTAAAATTGCAACTAATAATTTATATCGCGAAATTTTGGATCGCACTCGGCGTGTTCGTGTTCTATGAAATTAACAGCCAGTGCTTAGAAATTAATTAAAATAATAAATTAATTTAAATATTACATAAATACATTTTTTTATAGGAGAGGGGGCCATGAGCACGACCACGACTCAGATGCATATTAGAGTTTCTAAATAATATAAAATTTAAAAATATCCAACTTGTACTCACACCAACTATTAGACATTCTGTAGTAATAAGTATATCTTTAGTATTACTGACATTCTAGCAACATGAATATTGAAAAAAAACATTCTGAAAACCAATCTACGTTTATTAAACGGCAACAAAAAATTTTATTCCATAAAAAAAAAATACAAGAATATTAATCAGGTTCATTTGTATAGACTAAATACAACAGTAATTATATCTAAACCAACCAACAATATCCTCAATCCAATATGCACAATATACAGGGTAACAAGTTATGAATTGAGATGGAGCAATTTAGTTTATTGAAGCACACCACAGTTACCGTTATTTTGCAAAAGATTAAATCCGGTTGAAGTAAGACTTTGCACTAAAATATTTAAATGTAATTTTATAAGTATAACCAATTTTCATGACGATAAACGAATTTCTCTCTTTTTAGTCTAAATAATTTATCTAAATATCTTTTACTTTAATTTTATGTACCTAGTCTTAACTCAGACCAACAAAGAAAGAAAGACTGAGCGCTGCGTACATGTGACGCAAAAACCAAACCAAAATCATGCCCAACTTAACATACCTACATTTTCTTACACATTATTATGCAATTTAAATGATTTAAAAAAAAAACAAAAGGATTTTAGGAGCATATTTATTCTGTGCAAACAGCAGTGAACTTTTACGGGCTAATGAAAAGAAAACAGAAAAGTGTGTGTCACACACACACTTTTCTGTTTTCTTTGCGTGTCAAGAAGTTGAGCTTGCTTTCGGTATCACTTGAAATGTACGCAACGCTCTGTCAATCAATCAATCAATATATTATTTATTGTAAACCAATACACATTAGAACGAGACAAAATGAAATAAATATATACAAAGTACAATAGGGCGGCCTTATCGCTCTGGAAGCGATTTCTTCCAAACAATTCTTATTTAGCAAAGAACTGTTGTTTACAGCGAATTGCAAATAGGGAAGTTGTCAATCTGACAATCAATGATTTCTTATATTTACGCGAAGACTACACATTAAATGAAACTGATTTTTACAGATTTTATCGCGTTAAATTTAACTTTTTAATTCCCGACGTTGGTGAGGTGTTTGACGTACTGATGTCATATTTAGCCCGGCTACCTTCAGTTTTTGAATATTGAAGGTCACGAAGTCTTTCAGGTAACGTGGAGTAGAGGGATTGATCAGTATGTTGTATAAAGCAGAAAGGATGCGAGTATTGCTGCTCTCCCTATCTATATCTATTAGTTGATATGAGAGAGCTTTTGGTATAAAAAATCTAATGTTTAAAATTTAGTCTTAAGATATTCTTTAAACTTCTGATGATCTTTATGACTTTTTGAGATTAACATTGAATGAGACTTCAATATAAATTATTAAGAATAACTCAAAAACTATTGGTCAAATCTTGATGAAATTGAAGCAAAGGACCACATGAGAAGCACCAGCTTTAAAATAAAAAAAGAATAATCGAAATCGGTTCACCCAGAAAAAAGTTATGAGGACACAAAAAAGTCGGTAGAAAAAAACTCGTTTTGGGGTGCCCCAAGTTAGTGTATTAGGTCCATTGCTTTTTATATATGAATTCCGTTCAACATCAACGTTCGAGATTGCAGAGGTCTTAGGTTTAACTTTGGTAAAATAATTAATGATATTTGCCGATGATACACTCAGTCCAGCGCCGCTCTAACATTTCTATACCCCGTTTTATAGCACGATTTGTCCAAACCTACAAAATACGCTTCAGTTTCGGCTATCACTTCTTCATTTGAGGCAAATTTCTTTCCGGATAGCATTTCTTTTAGGTTAGCGAATAAATTATAGTCGCTGGGGGATAAATCTGGCGAATACGGTGAATGAGCAAGCAATTCAAACTTTAACTCTAAGTTTCGCCATGGTGACAACAGACTTGTGACATGGTGCATTGTCCTGATGAAAAATAACTTTTTTCTTTTGCTTTTGAGGCCGTTTTTCACGGTCTCCACCTTCAAACGCACTAATAACGACATATAATATTCGTTATTGATCCTTTCGCCCTTTTGTAGCTAGTCTATAAATATTATACCATGCACATCCCAAAACACGGACCTTTCCAGAAGAAATTTAAGTTTTTGGTCGCTTTGGGCGGCTTTCATTGGTTGCTCTCCACTCACTCGACTGCTATTTTGATTCTGGAGTGTAGTGGTGAATTCAAGTTTCACCCATTGTGACATACTGCATGAAAAAATCCTTTTTCGCCTAAATAACTCTAAAAAGCGCTCTGACGCTTCAACACGTTGATGCTTTTGGTCAACACTGAGCAAACGCGGTACCCACTTGCAACAAAGCCTTCTCATAGATAAATGCTTATGCAAAATGGTGAATGCATTACCTTTCAGTGTCCTTAGGTCGTCGGCTATCTCTTGCCATTTCATTTTACGGTCTTCCCAAATTTTATTTGTGAGCATTTTTTGTTTTCTGAAATAACAGCCTCATTTGTACGTCCAGAGCGTTAAGCATCATTTGTGTCTGTTCGTCAGCGCATAAATTCAGTAAACCAACGTTTACCTTTTGCTTTTGATGGAGCAGAGTCCCCGTAACACTTGTCAAGCTAACTTTTTGTTTCAACGGTATTTTTCTTCAAAAAGAAATAAAAATTTTGCACAGATTATATATAAGTCTGTGCTTTTTAAAAATAAAAATAATTTTCCCCTAATAGTGCCATCTATACGTCAGGCTCGGGACTTATTGACCAACGTAATATTGTTTAATTAGGAATCATAACACATTCATTGAAATTGAATGTTATAATATGACATTCATATAATTTGGGCGGTAAGATACTACCACCATTCCACCTACTGTAAGTTAATTGTACTGTGCCTATAACCTTCGCGCAAGTACAAGTAATAAGTTGATAAAGTTTTAGCGCAATCAGATGAACGGTATGGCAGCGCATAAAATACGAACAAAGTTTGTTCGTATGATAAACAAACATTAGTTTTTATATATTATTAGATGTAGCATCTTACCAGACAGTACGCTATTCCGGCCTAAATAGCCTCTCTGTGTGTAATTACCCTGTATCTTAGAATGTAACAAGTTTACCTTGAAATAACTTTGATCGAATCTACACTTGTGAGCGCAACAAATTGGCATCTCTGTATCACACTCTGTTTTTTACATAAAAGGATTGTGGTAAAAAAAATACTGAATACCTATGATTTTTATTTTTAATATCGTACCTATGTTTTACGAACCTTTAAACATGTCCCTACACCAATGGGAATAGATTTGTTTAAGAATGAACCCATAATAGGTTTGTAAAAATCAAATGGACGAGATTGTATTCAAAGATGTGAGAGAAAGGTTTACAGTACAAGCAGCCGTAGGAAGAAATATTTTGAAGATGATTCTGCAATGGAAGATAACGCACAAATGTAGGCGCTGCGAGTATAATTTGACAACTTTAATTTGGCGATATATCGGTTAATTTTTCTGGCTACTATGGTCCGTCTAGTTAGGTTTTTAACGTGGTAGAGCCATGCTGCAGCTATATTAGTAGTATAGTTGTAGCACGAATGGGTCGGCTCAACCGGGGAAGGACCACGCTCTCACAGAATACCAACGTAAAATAGCAGCTTAATGCTGCTGTGTTTCGTATGGTAAGTGTAGAGAACCGGAGACCATTTTTACTGGAAAAGAGGCATTCTATCTTAGTCCTCACGGATTACAACGCATCTACATTTTGATTCGCAAACGAGGATAGATGTAGATGTCTATGGGTCACAGCAATCACTTACCATCAGGTGGACTGTGTGCTCGTTTGTCACCATATCCTATAAAAAATATACGTTGTAACAAAATACTATTTTACTACAATTTTTTAACACTTTTAATCCATAACAGTGCCAAATAGACCACCATAGACGACTGGACCAGTGTTATTTTTCAAAACTGCGATAATCTAGTTATAGATTGGTCACTATCTTTAGTTTTTGTTTGCGCTGTACTAAGTTATTATTTTATTAGAATACATACATACAGAATATTGATAGTTTATATTTTAAGGTCCACTTTTGTTTGTAATCGATAAACATAGGTATTTCGAATAAACAACTTTTTTTACGACAGCAATTAGCCCTATGGACTTTACTCAACTATTGAATTATTTTTCTTCATATTTTTCTTTTGATTTAAAGGCACCATTATTTAATTAGTAATGCTTAGCCCAATATTGTGTTTGCACACTTCATAAGGTTGATGTTACAGAAAATTAGAATACAGTGTACATATTCTAATTTACTGTAACATTTTTTATACCTGTATTATGCAAATAAATGAATTTGATTTGATTTGATGTAGAATGTCAATGACCACTGTTGTAGTGTTGCCATATGTTAGTAATATCCAATAAAAAGGTACAAAACGACTTTCTATCTTTCCATCCCCAAAATAATGCTTCTCTTTTATTCTAAATATATTCTTATAGTTACTAGTACCTACTGTACGGTGTGGGGTGGGGCAAGAATATCCACCAACCAATTTCATCTGTCAGATTGCAGTGTAACCATGAGCAGCAGTGTCAAACGTGTGACGCGTCTGATACTGCGACTGCGATCATCAATACATTTGCCAGGCGTGATGATCAAGGCAAACCCTCACTACCACGGAAGAGGCCCATGTCCAGTTGTGGGCTGTGTGTGTGAGGTGATGAAGAAGATGAAGAAGTGCACGGTCAAAATTTAACCACATTATGGCAACACCAACTATTTTAAACTTTATACCCAAGGTTATATATGTATGTACATGTATGGCGGCAACGCCCGTCGCCGTACAACTCCCGCGTGATCCGGTTCGACGACACTGCCCGGCGGGGAGTTTGACTGGGGCGGTACATCTGTCAAAGAATACCTGCGTTATTCTGTCCTAAGGCCAGCTCAGCGAGGACAGAAACCTCGCGTGGAGCAAAAGGGCAAAAGCTTTTGTGTTATGAGAGCAGAACGTTCAAACTAATCGGTAGATAAGTAGCTAATCGTGCAGTTTATATACACAATGTTGTTAGCTTTATTATTGTTTTCTTCAGTATTCGAAGCGGTAAGTTCATTCCTTTTTTTAAAAAAATATTTACTTAGGTTAGTAATTCTACACACATTTTTATTACGTTAAAGTATAAAAGTGTTCGTATTGTAGCGATGTGTTAGTCGAAGCTATAGTTTGAGTAAGAAAAAAGTCAAGTAATATTATGGTATCCGAAAAACGGTGGAATATATATTTATCAGAAATTTGCAAAATTAATACAAATATCTTGCGAGAAATAACGAGATTAAAAATGTTTGTTGCTGTTTAAAGTAAAAAAAGTAGCCTAAGTTACTCCTCATCTCATCAGCTATTCTGTCAGTGAAAGTCCCTTCAAAATCGGTCTAGCCTTTTCGTAGATTAGCCGGAACAAATAGACAGACAGACAGACAAAAATTTAATTTTTTTATTGTTATTAGTACCATATATACTTTCATAATGCATTTAGTAAAAACTGTTATTTTGACATTACAAACAGACACTTCAATTTTATTTATTTGTATAGAATGGATTCTACAGCGACAGGCATTCGAATTTTAAGCAGATACTTTACAATTATTTGCCATGGTTTCCTTGTGATAGAAGGAATCCTTACGAAATTTTCTTTCTGTCCATTTATCGCACCTACAGGTTTTGATCGATTTCGTTAAAATTTTTTGAAATTTACTCACTTTCTATGTTAACTACATGGATAATAATCATTTACCACGTGCTCAGTGCTCCACGGCGAAGAAAAACATCATTGGGAATTATTTTTTTATAGGATAGGGTGACAAACGAGCACACAGTCCACCTGATGGTAAGCGGTCGCTGTGACCCATAGACATCTATATCTATCCTCAATAAAGAATCAAAATGCAGAGGCGTTGTCACCCGTGAAGACTAAGATGGGATGCCTCATTTCCAGTAAAAAGGGTCTCTACGTCTGAGGAATGAAATACTTCGAGAAAATATTAAATCCGTATATTAGCAACTAAAAAAATTTTAGGAGGAATCTAGGAATCTAGAAATCTAGGAGGAGTTTTTCAATTCGACTGTATGTTTTTGTATATACGTACATATGTGGTACATGTATGTATGCGAAATTTTAGTTAATTGTGGACCGGTTTTAATATTTTTTAACTACATTGGACATACTTTAGATTTGGTCCCATATTAGTTTGGAGAATAATCATATAATGGTGTAAAAATGGGTGATGAAGGTTTTAACACACCAGAAACAGAAACTTTTTTTATTCAATATAGATTATAAATAATACTTATTGAAAGTCACTCTTTTGTTTAATTAACACTGGTTGGAAAAAAACCTCTGTCCTGGGAAAAACCAGCAAGAAATCCAGCGGGACTTTTTTTTTTAAATAACAGCTTGCAATCATGTATGTTACACAACTAAACAACACAAAACAAATTAGAAATAGCTTGGTAGCGATCACCTCATTCCCAGGGGTTTATTTATTATTTCTTTTATTTATTCATTATTGCACCAAATATTTGTACAAAAGGCGAGCTTAATGCTATATAGCATTCTCTACCAGCTAACCTTGAGTAGAACAGAAAGTGAGTTTGGGCAGTTAATTTGTCATGATATAATTCAGTTCTAATATATAAATGCAACACATACATTAAATATATACATATATATAAAAATATATATAATTCATATACATATATAAATAAATACACACATTTAGGGGTTATTATCATCCATAAATCTCTTAATATTATAATAACCCTTTTTATACAAACTTTGTTTAATAAAGTTTTTGAACTTTGAGCAGGTCAAATTTTGTATATTTTCTGGAATTTTGTTGTAAAAACGTATACATCGTACCAAGAATGAATTACCGACTCGATGGAATCGAGTAACTGGTACTACTAGCTTGTGTTTGTTCCTAGTATTTACAGAATGAATATCACTTATTTTTATATGTAACCTTTATTTTTGTGTACCTACGTACATTACATTTTCATAAATGTATTGAGAGACCAAAGTTAATATATTAGTTTCCTTAAATTTTTGTAAGAGCGACTCCAACCATTTAGACCATTAGACTGATTAAACTTTTAATAAAAAGTTAAAACCGACTACAAAGTCCTAATTTTTTTTTCCATATTATAGCTTTTGAAGTCGTGGCTTTAATTCTAATAACTTCCTTAAACTGTGTACATATCTTACTGTGGCTATATCTTAGCGCTAACTTCAGAAGCTATTACTTGGAACTTATTGTGCTATTGTATTTATTGTGATATTGTACTTATAATACGTGGTAGAACCATGCTGCAGCTATATTAATAGTATAGTTGTAGCACGAATAGGTCGGCTCGACCGGGGAAGAACCACGCTCTCACAGAATACCAGCGTAAAATAGCAGCTTAATGCAGCTGTGTTTCGTACGGTGAGTGTAGAGAACCGGAGACCCTTTTTACTGGCAAAGAGGCATTCCATCTTAGTCCTCACGGTTGACAACGCATCTGCATCTTCACTCTTTATTGAGGATAGATGTAGATGTCTATGGGTCACAGTAACCACTTACCATCAGATAGACTGTTTGCTCGTTTGTCACCGGATCCTATAAAAAAAAATCTGGGTGACTGGCGGTGTATTAGAGTGCGATTTACCATAAGTTTTCTTCCTCAGACAAATTTTTTGTAGCGTGGACGTTTTTTTGAAATGCCGGCAATGCATTTGCAATTTCCTTGGTGTTGTAGTTGTTTATGAGCGGCAATAGTCACTTACCATCTGGTAAGCCGCATGATTGTTTGCCCTCTATCACTAGAAAAAAAAAAATATTTAAAAAAAAAACTATACTAGATGACACTTGGCCAAAACTTGTTTCGAGGCGATTGACCCTTTAGCTGCGTTCTGTACGATGATGAAGGCCACCCAACGAATGATCGTGGTTACGTAATTGCCACGCAGACAGAAGGAAGTTTGCAATGACCGCATCCAAATCGTGATTAGTTATTTTTTTAAGCATTCTATTTTTATAATTAATAGTTCCCTACTTCAGTTCGAGATCACGAGTTTATAAGGTGTTTATACATATAACGAAAAACATGCGTGAGTGTCGTGTAACACTCGGGTAGAACGTAGTTCCTTTAGTATTCGTAGTATATACGAGGGCGGCACTGAAAATTTCGGGAATCAAGGAAGTGACACAACATTACTATTTAAAAATGTATTTATTGCTTTTCAAAGTATTCTCCGCGAAATTTGACACATTTTTCCATACGATGGAACCAATCATTGAAGTAACCATTCCATTCGGAAGTTGGGGTCTCCAAAATGGCCGTTTTGTAGGCGTCCACAGCTTCTTCAGGTGATGAAAATCTCTGTCCACGCAATTTATTCTTTATTTTAGGGAAAGTATAGAAATCATTAGGGCTTAGGTCGGGGCTGTACGGCGGATGGTCTAATAATTCTATGTTTTCTTGCTCTAAAAACTCTTTTGTTCTGTGTGCGGTGTGAGAACTCGCATTGTCGTGATGGAGGATGATGCGGCGGTTGCAGTTCTCTTTACGGAGTTCAGAACGACCTGTGGCAAACAAATGCTAGCATACCATTCTGCATTAACTGTTCTTTGTCCCTCAAGAGGAATAGTCGTAACATGGCCGGTTTTGGAGACAAATGTGGCCACCATTTTTTTTGCAACACTCCGTGAACGAACAATTTTTGTTGGCTTTAACTCATTTTTGAAAACCCAAACTCGTGACTGGTTTTTTATTTCGGGTTCGTACGCGTATATCCAGGATTCGTCACCTAATACGATGTTGTATACAGCATTTGAGGATCCTGCGTGGAATCTTTCGAGAGTTCTGACGCACCAAGTAACGCGAGCCGCTTTTAGCTCTTCACGGAGCGAATGCGGTATCCATCGGGAAAACAACTTTTTTACACCTAACTGTTCATGCAAGATTATTTGTATTTGACTCATGCCAATGTCTAAAGTTGCCTGAATTTCGCGATATGTCACACGTCGATTTTCCTCAATCAGCTTACGCACAGCATCATCGTTTTCTTGGGTGACTGCAGTTTTTGGACGACCTTGACGGGTATCATCACTGAGCTTGACACGTCCACGTTGAAATTCAGCAAACCAGCGATAAATTGTGGTTTTGGATGGGGCTTCATCAACAAATGCAGAAATCATCCGGTCAACACACTGTTTTTGTGTTAAACCACTTTTAAAGTCATAATAAATCATCGCTCTTGAATTTTCTCGAGTCAATTCCATTTTCTATGGTATTCGATTTTTAAAACCAAGGACTTTTCAATTAAAAAGATTTTAATATGACAGGAACAGTGGAAATATTCCATTCCCGATACTTTTAGTGCAGCCTATGTATTATTATTGATAAACGTATTATAATATTATTGATTAACATATACAAATAAATGAATTACTAGCGTCTATCAAAATGAAGTGTCATCTATATAAATTAATAAAATTGAAGTGTCTGTTTGTAATGTCAAAATAACAGCTTTTTACTAAATGCATATGAAAGTAATTACGATACTTATAACAAAAAAAAACACAATTTTTAAAATTTTTGTCTGTCTGTCTTTTTGTCTGTTTGTTCCAGCTAATCTCCGAAACGGCTGGACCGATTTCGACGGGATTTTCACTGGCAGATAGCTAATGTTATAAGGAGTAATTTAGGCTGCTTTTATTTAAGTAAAAGAATTAGGGTTCGGCGCAAAAAAATCAAAACCCATGAAATCCAATAGTAACGCGGGCGAAGTCGCGGGGAACAGCAAGTTTAAATTAAAATAATATTTCTTTCATGGCAAGATAAGAAAAATTCTTCCTTGTAGCCGCCAAGGGAGTCTACACTAGGTACGTCAGAAGCGGTCGTGACGGATAAAAACTTACACTTTTTGTCGCCTAGGCCCCATCCGCCAAATCCGTACCGTCCGATAAAGAACTTCGTTCCAATAATAAAAATACAACGAACATTACCCAGTGACCATAACCAAATATTTTAATTAAAGAAGAGCGTTGTTTCCGAGCACAAGCAAGATTATTTGCTTATAAGGAAGCTAAACTTATTTAAAACGCTTTTTACCCGCGGCTTCGCTCGCGTGCGCTTGAATTTAGGGACATCATTAAATGTTGTTCCGTGTCAAATTTAGAAATATTCGATCACTTTTAGAGTCACCTTGGTGTCTATGTCCCTATGTCTGTCAGAGATTTTTTTTCATTCTAAAATACTATTAGACGTAGATGATTGGTAACATGCTACAGAAACACGTGAATATATATGTCTAGAAACTCCTACTATTTTTTATATATGGCGTGTCTTCCGATTCCGATGTATCCATAAGAAAGGTAAATAGTCTTGCAATCAAAATGTATTATTATTACTTACATTTTACTTTTTACATATATATATATATATATTCATAGTTAAAGTAAATTTAGTTTTAACAAAGTAATATAATGTTTATTTGAGACATTTTATTCATATCATTGGTCCTATTTAATATTGATTGGCACCATAAAAAGATATAGATGTTTTTATTTACTTCGAGTAGACTTGAAAATTTCATAAATACAGTTCTATAATAATGAATACCACACATGGATTAAAACTAATGTTACGGGTTTTTTACGCATCTTGACTCCTCACCGAATGAAAGCACCGAAGCTCCGGGAAGTCTAAAATATGTAAACATGCTTAGTATCGTCCCAACCATTATATACAACAAATTCTTGCAATAGAACACCGAATCCTACCAATGATGATTCGCGAGGCTATTGAAATTAAAAATATCCTAATTTTAATAGGGAAGATGGCTGAGTGCTACTATCTTCTAAGGTCTCCATGATTAATAAAATTAAATTCAAACTACTACAGCATTTTAACTTTTTGATTTTAACTATGACATCAGGTCGTCAAACACCTCAGTTCTCCCACCCCTCCCGTGACCATGGGTGCTATAAATTGCCCAAACCATCGGGAATTTAAAAAGTTAAAATTAAACGCGAATAAAATCCTTAAACTTACTTTTATTCATTATAAATTTTATACACAGTGAACGTGAGGAACACTACACTCATGAACGGGAGTAGAAAAATGTTCGCACTGTTGTGGCGGTGAAAGAAAATCCAACACATCATATCGTCCCGTCGTAAGAGGCGACATAGGAAAAAAACAGTAGATGGGATAATCTGCATCATCTTCTAGACAACAGATCAAAATAATAATAGCTGCGGTTGCGAACCCGCCACTATAGCAAATATCCAGCTACTTGACAATTTATGGGGGAGGCCTATGTTCATTTCAGTGGACTTTTGATAGGCTGACGATAATGAGTTCTACTCATCTTTGCAAGCCTTAACATTTACGGTAGAGTGAAAACATAAATTATCATACCCGAAAACACGAATGAAATAGAAACTGCATACATTGCCCCATGAAAAGTAAAAAAGCAGCTTACATACATGCTACTACTGGACACAGGCTGTAGAGTTTTTGGCCAAAAAAGAGTTCGCTGCACTGATTCCAACGCGGGATGAACGTAATGTAAATGATTCAATTATTTACATCGTATATTCAGTAGCATTGTATTATTTCATTTTATCTATGTCTTGCCATTTTAATTTATTTAGAAGTAAGTAGGTGGCGCTAATATTACATGAAATAATGAAAGCCAAAACTATACCATCTAGTAATATCAGCAATAGAAACGAACATTTATTTATTATATCAAATCAACAAGGGATAAAGTGATGTCAATTCTCTTAAAAGTTCTGTTTCTGTTAAAAATAAGCTATCAGCGCCGCTAGCGGTGAAAAACGATAATGATATCGTCATATGACCATATTATGAAATAGCAACGTTATGTTTAGTTACTAATAACTTCAAAAGATTTCTATTCATTGATTTGGTCAAGCTATATAATGACACGGTCATCAAATAGTGTTAAATACACATTCATTTCAGTCCTTTTTTCAGTGTTTTCACGAAATGATAGACTACTTTATGATATATACTAATGAAATACGAAAACTAATATATTTATTGTAATAATAAGGCATAAAGTGATGGCAATTCTGTTAAAGGTTCTGTTTCTGTTAAAAAAATACGCTATCAGCGCCGCTAGATTTAATGATATCGTCATATGACTATATCATGAAATAGTAACGTTGAGTTTAGTTATTAATATCTTCAAACGATTTCTATTCAATTATTTGGTCAAGCTATATCATGACATGGTCAAGAAACAGTGTTAAATATCATGAAATGACCACACCATTTCAAGAAATGATATACTACGAGTACTTTATGATATATGATCAATTCTACGATCTGGCCACGACTTACATAAAAATCCCTTTAATAAAACTATGATGATAATGAAAATTCTGCAACAATTGCAGACAGACCAGTTTTTATCACTTTACATATATATTAGTAATTGAAATAAATATGTACCTTATCAATTTTCATATTTTTGATAGACATCACTATTATCTATTGAAATTATTACACTTTTAAAATAAAATAACAAAATACTAAAAAACTGAACGTTACAATTTTTTAATAATTTTAAAAATCTAATAATTTAATCATATAAATGTAAGTTATTTATATTATTTCATTTATTAGTAACTGAAGGCAAAATATACAACTTTTTCCATTTGATGATAGATGGCGCTGTTTTAAATACGAAATCGGTGTAGTTTCAAATTATTTTATCAAGATTATAACTATATTTTAAACTTTATTTATAAATATGGTAATATGGTATTTATTTGAAAAACACCCGTCATTCCGCCTATAACTAAGATATAACAGAAAATTAACATCTAAAGGAAATTAATATACTTAACCTTCCTTTTTTGAAGTTCCGTAATCGGATAAAAAGTAGCCTATAAGTTGCCCCGGGTTACTGACTACCTACATACAAAATTTCATGTAAATCGGTTCAGTAGTTTTTGCGTGAATCCGGAATACACAGATAGACAGACAGACAGAAAGAAAGACAGACAGACAGACAGACAAAAATTCTTAAACCACTAATTTGGCTTCAAAATTCTTTATGGACTTGTTTTTCAAGAATATATTAGAATTACAGACACGACTTTTCTACAGATTTATTATATGTATAGATTGTATTAGGCTAAGTTGACGAAACTATTTTTATTTGTGTTAAATAACAACCATTTTCAAATTATTTTCAGCTCTGTGACAGTACTGATGGTGGGAAAGCGCCACGGATACTTCTTAATGATGGCAACACCATGCCCGTTTTGGGGCTAGGCACGTTTTTAGGTTTTGATGAGGTAGGCTATGAAATATTGTCAGCTAAGCTCTGGCTTCGGTTTTATTTTAAAGCTATAATACATCATTGTTTAAGTATGACTGTGACACAAATAATACGCTAATTTATTTTTATAATTTGTCTTAAAAAGGCGGATTTCTATATTTAAGGAACGTTTCGTTCTCAGTAACGATCCGTTTTATTGCATACGAGTTGCATGTAAAAACAGTTTATTACTGCGGCTCATGGATGCTTGCAAAAACAATCTATCTATTACAAATCTATTAGATTTAGCCTTTTAACAACATTATTTTTAATACTTCTCATCCCTTTGGCATGACCGTGTCCAGAGTATCTCTATTTCCAGAACCTTCAGTGATAGGTTTTGGTAATATTTTAAATCTTCAATAATATTTCATATCAGCTAGTTTTCACATCTTTAAGATTTTTTACTACCATCATACAAAAAATTTGTCGGACATTCATTTTCATAATGCCGCCCCATAAAATATGCCGCTAGAGGTCACGGCACCCACACCAAAAGTTTAGAAAATAATTAAACTGAAATTTATAAAAGGATATTTCCTTACAGAATGGGCAAAAGGAAGTAAAAGAGAACGAAGTTGAACTTCCCGTGCTGTGGGCTGTTAACTCTGGTTACAGGTAAAACGTTTTTATCTTCCCTCCGGCTTTTGTATTTCAACCGACTTTAAAAATGAAGTCGACTATTGTAAAGAGGCAAATTATTTAATTTCACTGATAGAAAGTTAGAATATTCCCGAGTAATAGAGATAAAATACTTGCTTTCTTGGTGTCTAAGATATCTCGTACGTTTGTAAAATCAAAATCAGATAGAATGTTAAAATAACTAGAGCTACTTAGCACTGGCGCAGTGCCTTAGCAATGAGTTGTAGCGCCGGGGCCGCGGGTTCGAATCCCGCACGGAACAAGTATTAGTATGGCCTGCAAGTAATTGTTCCGTATCTGGATGTTTATCCTCGTGCAATTTGTTTATAAACTGCCTCGACGATACAGGAGAAAATCCTAGTGTAAGGTAACGTTTAAAAAAAAAAAGAAAAAGCAAAAACAAAAACAAAACAAAACGTACTAAATTAAGGAATTACACATAAATCTTTTCATAAAAAGAGTTGACAGTCTAGTATTTTGTTTCTCCATTATGATATATAATCATCCCTTACTCCCGTTACAGCCTTTTAAAGTCCACTGCTGAACATAGGCCATAAACTGCCTCATAGTGGGAATATTTGCCATAGTTGCCACGCTTAGCAAGCGAGTTGGCAATCGTAGTTTTTTTAATTTTAGTCGTTATTAGGAAGACACTGCTGCCCATCTCCTGATTTGTTTCCCTCTGTCGCCTCTTACGACAACCACGGCATGATATAAGGTAGTGGATATTCTTACATCGCCACTACACGATCATAATCCACATAATCATGAATATCATCATTATGACAACCCTTCACAACTCCACTGCAGCTTTCTGCAGCACTATTAGCAGGTTCTCAACATTCTCCATCCGTTGTCAATGTTTCGAACCATATGGCCGGCCTATAGACACTTAGTCTTACTGATCCGTTGGCTTATGTTGGTTACTTTCGTTCTACTGCGGATATCGTAGGCTTCCTGTACAAATACTTCATCACTTAGATATACCGATAGTTAATCTAATATTGCTGTAGCACCGCCCAAATTCGACAAAACTAAAGGCTTTCCCATAGACAACATACGCGAAACACGGTGGCAGATTTTACTCTTCGGTCTTCTGTATAATTTGCCGAAGGGTATGTATATGCTTTATGATACCAAAGCCTTCTTCATTTATGTCGTCGTATTTTGAGGATTGAAAACGATTTTATAATATGAGCTGAATGTTTTCGAGTCTTTAGATTAGAGCACCAGTGGGCCGAACCGTTGACTTTTTTAGACGTGACCAATCACCATTCGACGCTCACCATTCGGCGATTACTAAGATATCACTGGACAGTTGTTGCTTAGTCGTCATAATTAAGTCAATTTCATGTTTTATCGAACCGGCGGGGATGGATCAGGTCCACTTTCTGTGGGGTCGAATCTAGAAGAAAGATTTTGTCACAAAGAGGCCTTTCTTCTCAGTGAAGTTAGCCAGTTGCTGAACTGTAAAATTTCGTTGCCCTATTCAAAATTTTCCTATCTGTAGATCTTCGGCTTTTCTTGTACCTATTTTTGTATTAAAGTCTCCCATCATACAACACAGTGTAATAAATTTTAGGGGAATGAGGGGCTCTAAAACTATCCTCATACATTGCTACCGCCTTCTTATCAGGGTGGGTCAAGGTGTCTTTCAGAATTGTCAAATACTCGCTCATGTAATTATAACGCATTATAGGTTAATAGACACGGCTGCAACGTATCAAAATGAGGAACAAATCGGTCGAGGTCTTCAGAAGTCATCGGTGCCGAGAGAAAACGTTTTTATAGTCACCAAGGTAAGGTTACCAAGGTTTCTACTGAAGCCAATATACAGAGTTATTTTTCAAAGAGTATCCATATTTTATATTTAAGTAGTAATTATATAAATAATGATATACCGTTATTGCTACTACGAGTAAATAAGGCATCTACTTTTATTTGAAATTATCCCAAATTGAAAGTGATTTATGGACAACTACTAGCGCGTACGCACGCTGCTCTACCTCTATGTGGGATTCAATTCACAACGGTTTTTGCCAACTGAGCGACCCTTACAAATGTGTACGTGCGTAGTAAAATAGTAGGCGTTAGATATTTATGAAAGACAATCCGGTAAAATAATACATTACCACGCATTTTGAATTTAAAAGATAAAATGCACAGAATATAATACTTATTCTGAAACATTTCTGAATTTTTTTCTTTTTTTTTCTTTTCTTAAAACGTTACCTTTGTTGGGCGTATATATAATATTATAAGTGACGTATTATTATAACAATCTGTGCTTGAGGCAAGCTTTGAGCACGGAGTAAGCGTGCGACATTCGGTGGACAAAAAGTTACTTTGTTTGCATACATTTTGTTTATTATCATGAAATAAAGAATCTACATCAAAATGTAGCCGATGAAGAATCTTATTCAAAACATACCTTTCATATTACTATCTAAAAATATTTTGAGGTTATCGCTTAAAAAAAAGTTTTTTTCCGGCAATTAAATTATATTATTTTTATTAATATAAAATACTTTAAAAATCCATTCGATTAATAATTTAATTGAGTATTTCATGTATGCGCATATTTTTGAGCGTATTCTATTTCGAGATAGGTTTTTGCAACTTTAGCTTTAACGATAGCTTTAAGCAACTATGTAATAAGGCCCTTCTATTTTTGACATTCAATTTTGACATATTGTAATATATTAATTTAATCTTAGCTTAGTTAATTTGAAAATGATATTTTTAGTTTACTCTATTTGACATAGTATAATCTTCTATTTGGCATCTATTTTTTATCTATTTGACATCTATTTTTTATTTTATTTTTTTTTTATTTGGATATGTATCTTAATCAATTACTTATTATTTAAAAGTGTAATTTGTAAATTAGCATGCTGACGTTTTGGGCATACTGTAAGCCAGCATGTACACTGTTCTAAAATAAATAAATAAATAAATAAATAGGTATATCATTTCTCGAGCGTAAAGTTGGTGTCTAAAATACGATATTTTGTCCAACCGGCTAGGTTGGACAAAATATCGTATATTTTAGTTACGTTATAGAGCTGATAGCGATTCATCAATGTATGTTATTTGTTTCAGCTTGGTGTGAATGAACAAAGACATGTTATAGATTCTCTACGGGCGTCACTGGCTCGTCTCAACACGTCATATGTGGACCTCTACCTTATTCATTTCCCCGTGGCGTTTAAGGTGCAAAACAATGATTGATTTTATTAAAATCTTCTTGATGATGTTCTAGTTTTATGACGAGTATTAAATGCAACCTAAGATACAAAAAATTCTACTAATACCCCTTATTAATATTACTACAATCCATTGCAAGTCCACTGCTGACTGTGTCACTAGGTAAGTGGGGGGTTGCTCAACACTGCACTTGCCAGTACGAGTTTGCCATTAGAAAACCTTTCTTCCCCATCGGTTGTCGGTTCTTCGAGCTATATGGCCGGTCCATTGCCACTTCAGCTTACCGCTAGGCTATGTCAGTTGTTCTTCTGCGGATTTATAAAAACGAATAAATACAAAAAAATATTTCTTTATTTATAAATCGTTACATTAAAAACATTTGAAGCAAATTAATAAAGAAATTAATATTCAATCTATTGCTAGTGGATTTTAGACGGGCATATTAAGTTGTTTAACGTGCATTTCACGTCACCAAACGCAATATCTAATGTTCCTTAACAGCCTGACCTTAGCGGCTTCGATGTTGTGGACTACTTAGATACGTGGAAGAGCATGGAGGAAGCGAAAAGGCTCGGACTGGCGAAGTCTATCGGAATCTCCAACTTCAACATCAGCCAGATCGACAGGCTCCTTGCCAACTGTGAGATTAAACCAGCCGTTTTGCAAGTAGAAGTAAGTACAATCTATCTCCTCGCATGTGAAATTAACAGAACCACTCCACTTTCCTAAAAAAAATGAAGAGAAATACGTGTTCGTATGGTCTCCCTATATCATGATGGTCACCCTAAAACGGGATGTCTTCCTACAACGGGCTGATCTCCTACATTAGAAAGGTCGCGCGAGAATGGAATGGTCTCTCTACAACGGGATGGTCTCCTTTCAACCGATGGTCTTTTTACAACGGGATAGTCTCCCTACAATGGAATGGTCAGGTGATGAAAAGTTATCGCTTTGCTGCTCCAATGCGTGTTGGTAGATTTCACATGCCCTCGAAAATATTTTATTTCACACGCATGCCGGTTTTTCCACGATACTGTGGTAGAATGTGGTTTACAGAACTTCAGATTGATATTTTCATTGATGCTGGAGGGTTCAAACACAGGTTGCTGGCGTACTGTAAAAATTTAACCTTGAAGAGCCACGCTCGGCTCAAGCGGGGAATGATCACGCTCTCACAGAATACCATGTATTTAATATGGTGAGTGTATGAACCGCAGACCCTTTTTACTGAAAACGAGATATTCCATCTTAGTCCTCAGGGGTAAATAAACGAATACTGATTTAACCAATATTGATTTTTATTCAAGGATAAAATGAGATGTATTTATATGGGCCACTGCATACACCATAGCGTCACCCTTATTCCATATATTAAAAAAATATCCTATAAAAAATCACTATGAACCAGCTTTTAAATACTCTGTTCAACTTACTTAATTACTCTGTAAAATTTATTATTATAGGTTAATTTAAATCTGGCGCAAAAGAAACTGTTGGAGCGCGCGAAGAAGGATAACATAACTGTAATGGCATATTCGCCATTTGGGTCGCTTTTTAGCAAAAGCGAAATCCCACCGCCTCCAAGGAAGGACAACCCTGTTCTTGTCCAAATAGCCAACAAATACGGAAAGACCACGCCGCAAATAGTTTTGAGATATCTGGTGAGTTTATACAAATTTTATAAGATTTTCCTAGGACGGATTCCAGGCAAAAAGGACTACCTTTTTTGGCCTAGAATCCGTTCTGGTAGGCGATAACCCTAACTAATTTCTGTCGACAAATAAGGTACGTGAGGGTAATATGGTCACCTTAAGCTTTGCCACCATATAAAACCAAAACTAGGAGGAGGACAGAGACATAAGCACAAAGTCGTATGTTATAACAACTGATATATGTATTAAGAAAAAAGAAAGCAAACAAGCTTTCACAATAATTAGGAACACTTCGAAAAATCAACTTAAAAAAAACTAATTTCACTATACAAATATACAATACTAAAATCGACTAAAATATTGTTACGAGCTTGGGGTTCGAGACAATTAAAAACTGCCTAACTAATTACAATTTAAAACCACACTAATAATAAACACAATTTTACCACTGATCACTAGTTCGCAGTTATTTCGCTTCGAATTATTCTCTTGTATCGCCAATTCAATACTGCCTTGGTCGTGGTCTATACCGGCCTTATATAGGGCCTCAGATAGTTTCCAGAACCTTCAACTGCAGCGACATCTAGAATGTTCGAGTACATATCGGTCCCGAAATTTCTGGAATGATCTTGACTCTATCTCTCGATCGATATATATATATTGATCTCTCTCTTGAACTTGACTCCTAGTTCTGCTACTCAACACTAGAGGGCGCTAGTGTAACTAGTGGTGCCATTAATAGTGGCGCGCAACACTGCCCCCTCCTAAGACATGCTCGTCCCGAGCATTATTGGCCCCATAATAACGCGCCAGTCGATCCACATGGACGATCTTAGGAGCACCTCTGGCACCTTTCTGTATCCGGTAGGTTACGTCATTGATCCTTGTCACAATCCGGTACGGTCCGTCCCATTTAGCTTGAAGCTTAGGAGATATCCCTTTGCTGCGAACTGGATTGTGTAACCACACTAGTGAACCTTCGTCAAAACCCTTGTTGTTCATTTTGCGGTCATGCCGTGTTTTCATCTTCTCAGACGTTTGCTGGCCCGTCTGTCTGACGTGCTCATAAATGTCATTCATTTTGTTCCGCAAGTCATTTGTATAATCGGTTATACTGCTTCGGGCATCAGGTGGTATTCCGGTGATCAGGTCTGCAGGCAGCCGTAATTCTCTCCCTAAGTTTGCGAAAGCTGGCGTCACTGATGTACTTTCGTGAACAGCGCTTCGATATGACAACAAAAACGGTTGTATGTGCCTGTCCCAGTCTCGTTGCCATTTTTCCACAACTTTTGCTAGGAACCTCTCCAATGTCTGATTAAATCGTTCTACCATTCCATCAGATTGTGGGTGGTAAGAAGTCGTTCGTGTTTTATGAGTACCCATAACTCGGCAAGTTTCCTGGAATATTTGAGACTCAAAATTCCTTCCTTGATCGCTGTGAATCTCTAAAGGTACTCCAAAACGACAGAAGACTTCATGAACTAGTTTATCTGCAACTGTTGAAGCTTCTTGATTTGGAATGGCGAAGACTTCTGGCCACTTAGTGAAGTAATCCATCACAACCATGAAATACTTGTTACCACTTTCACTTTCCGGAAACGGCCCCGCAACGTCAATGGCTATCCTCTCCCACGGTGCACCAACATTGTACAATTTCAATGCGCCTCTACTACGAATTTGAGGTCGCTTTACAGCCGCACAACTTGTACATTTGTGGCACCAGTCCTCGACGTCGTCACGGCAGTGGACCCAGTAAAACCGTTCTCGGATCTACAGTAGAGTTCGTTTGACTCCCAGGTGGCCTCCTGAACAACCACTATGGTACAACTGTAGAACATCCGGTACTTTAGCCTTACGGACAACCATTCGCAAATGACACCTGTCTTCCCGACGTCGCTCCACTTGGCCTTAGAAGCACTAGCCTTCATCCATTCCAGAATTGACTTAATGTTCGAATCTTCCTGCTGTGCATGTTGTGGGTTGGTCTGCCCTGAATATCCTCACAGATACCACTTCCTTACCCTCTTGCCTACTAAAATGCTTGCAATCTTCAGGGCAAGATCTTCTTGACAATGCATCTGCATTGCCATGAGATTTCCCGCTGCGATGTTCCATCACAAAGTCGTATTCCTGCAGTAGTTCAATCCATCTCGCAACTTGTCCTTCAGGATTTTTGAAGTGCAATAGCCATTTCAGTGCAGCATGATCAGTTCATAAGTGGTATTTCCGCCGCAGAAGATATTTGCTAAAATGCTGCAAAGACTTTACCACAGCAAGCAATTCCCGTCTTGTGACACAATAGTTCCTTTCCGGCTTTGACAACGGCTTGCTGAAGTACGCTATCACAAACTCTTGATCACCATTCCGTTGAGACAACACACCGCCAAGTCCTATATCACTTGCGTCTGTGTCAACTATAAATTCCTTGTCCGCATCAGGGTACCCCAAAATAGGTGTTTTGCACAGACGGTTCTTGAGCTCCTGGAATGCAATATCGCAACTTTCATCCCAGCAGAAATGTCGCTTCTCCTCGGTTAGCTTGTGCAGAGGTTTGGCTATATCTGCAAAGTTCTTCACAAATCGCCGATAATAAGAGCACAAACCCAAAAATGTTCTAACCTGTGTCTTGTCTTTTGGAACCGGCCACTCCTTGACAGCGGCAATTTTCTCTGGATCCGTACGGATACCTTCTTCCGACACTACATACCCCAAAAAGCTAACTTGCCGTTTGAATAGTGAGCACTTCTTCGGACTTAACTTGAGGTTGGCACTCTGGATCTTCATGAGCACGCGTTCCAGGTTTTGAAGGTGTTCCTCCAACATACGGCCTACGATGATGATGTCATCCAAGTAGACCAGACAGGCATCTCCAATTAGCCCGGTAAGTACAAGCTCCATCAACCTTTTAAACTTTGCTGGAGCATTGCACAATCCAAACGGCATGACTTTAAATTGCCACAGACCCTTTCCTCTGGAGAATGCAGTTTTCTCCTTTTCCTTAGGGTCAATTTCAACCTAACAGTAGCCACTTTTCAGGTCCAGCGTACTAAACCACTTTACGCCTGTAAGCATGTCCAGCGTGTCATCAATTCTTGGCAAGGGATAGCTGTCCTTCTTCGTAACGTCGTTCAGGCGGTGGTAGTCAACACAAAACCGCATGCTGCCGTCCTTCTTCTTTACCAGCACCACAGGTGAACACCATGGACTAGATGAAGGTTCAATAACACCATCCTTGACCATTCCCTCAATCATGGTTTCCACTTCCTTTTCACGTGCTACAGGCAATCTTCTTGGCCGCTGACGAATAGGCAATTCTTGTCCTGTGTTTATTTTGTGTTGAACTAAGCCAGTCTTTACTATGTCAGCTTCGTTTGACGAGAAAACATTGGCGTACTTGAGTAACAACTTCTTCGCCTTGACCATTTCATTCGGAGAGAGAACGCTGCGACAATCTTCTAAAAGTGTGGTCACTCTCGTTTGTCCATCCTTGCTGGGTGTCCCAGTCGATAGATATTGGCACCGACGCAACCAATCCACTTCCTCACTAGTACCAACCAATGTGCCTTTTTCTATAATCTGTTCCTGATCACAAAGGTTCAGCACACGCACTCCTGAGATGTCGGCGGTTCTGACCAAGGTTCGAGCCACTTTCCATGGAAGGTCATTGTCTACCCTTTCCACGAGTACACAACGAAGAGTATGCCCAGGATTCCGAGGAAGTCTAACCGGCACAATCGTTTCCGATCTCGGCGGAAGGACAATCTTCTTAAGGCTATACACATTCCCTAGTAACGCCCCTTCCACGAAAAGTTCCTCTTGTCCACATTTCAAAACACCTTGCTTAACGTCGATCTCACAACAACTCTTCCTCATAAAGTCTAGGCCCAGGATGCAGTCGTCCATTATATCAGCAACGATGACATTATGCAGGTAGATCATGTTGCCTAGCTTCAACTCCATCTCCTTCTCTCCACGGACGGGTATGCGCTGACAGGTGGCTGTCACCAAATTAATGCGTTTTCGGTTGTATGCGGAGTCCCCAAGGAACTGACTTATAAGTTGGGAACTGACAACCGTGCGAGAGGCTCCAGTGTCTATGGCCAGTTTACACGGCTTTACGTTGACCTCGCCCTTGATGATTAGGCTGTTCCCATCATGGGTTTGTGAGATCGAAATCCTTGGGGCTCTTTTAACATTAGCCAGCACCCGCCCCGCAGTCCTGGCTTTTACTCGTTTCCCTGCTGCTGCTGGGCGGTGCTATTAGCCACACTACCCTTTCGAGATCGATCACCTTCCCTTTCTACAGTTCGCTTAGGGCAGCTGGATCGAAGATGGCCCCTTTCCCCACAGCCGTAGCACCTAGGGCGGTAGCCATTGGTGCTGGTCCCGAACTATAGCTGCTGCAACCTCCCTGACGCGATGGGAACGATGATCCTGCCGCATGGCTTCCACCTCCAGTGCATGGGTCAAGGAGTCCTTAAGCGTCTCGTGGTGCCCGAGCCTCACAGCAGCTCTGACTTCAAGATCGCGGATACCGTCGATGAATGTCTGCACCAGGTTCCCTACAATGAGCGCAGGTACAGACTGGTATGCCTTTCGAACCAGCTCCTCCACCTCAAAGGCCCACTGCTGCAGGTTTTTGTTACTGCATTGCACGCATTGATCTTTGAGCTGCGCACGAAAGACGTGTTCCAGGTGAGCGTCGCCATATCGCGTCTCCAATGCCTCAAGGAGCTGCTCGTAAGTCACTTCCTTACCGGGAGCTTCCAGAGCAGTTAAGGCCTGGTCGCGCAGACCTAGGGTAAGAGCAGTCATGGCCTGACTTTTATTCCAGGCGTTCACCTTCATGACAGCCTCGAATTGGATTCTGTAGGCCGACCAGGAAGAAGTCCCGTCGGACGGCTGCACTTTGAATCCACGTAGCGAAGGTGTTGTAGCTACCACGGGAGCTGTAACTCCATCCCCAATTTTGAGGTCAGGTCTGTTCCTACTGTCGGCGGGCCTGTTCCTCCTGTTGGCGAGCCAGATCCTGCAGCATCATCATCAGAGCACCTAAGTCAGGTGCTGCAGATGCAGCAGCTGCTGACGGGACGGCCTCCGTGGTTAGCAGCTGGCCCTCCAACGTTTGCGGCGTTGCATTACCAAATCCTCTCTGGTCCTCTCCGTGTTGTCTTTAGATAAAATCGGCATATTTGATCCCACTTCTGACACCAATTGTTACGAGCTTGAGCTTAATAAAACGCAATTGTACTACTGATCACTTTAATTCGCAGTTATTTCGCTTCGAAGTATTCGCTTATATCGCCAATTCAATACTCACTCGGTCGTGGTCTATACCGGCCTTATATAGGGCCTCAGTTAGTTTCCAGAACCTTCTACTGTAGCGACATCTAGAATGTTCGAGTACATATCGGTTCTGAAATTTCTAGAAGGATCTTGACTCTCCTAGTTCTGCTACTCGATACTAGAGGGCGCTAGTGGTAACTAGTGTTGCCATGTACAAGACATTAATAGTGGCGCGCAACAATATTTAATTGTATAAAATATGATATTGTAAATTAAAGTTAAAAATTCCCGCTGGGATTTTTGCTGGTTCTTACCAGGACAAGGGATTTTTCTGAACCAGTGGTAAGGCCGGGAATTAAAAATAAGTATAAATTAAACGCGATAAAGTCCGTAAAATAGTTTTTACGGTTGGAAAGCTTAAATGGCTTTCAATAACTATTCTTGTAACCTATCTATACAAATAAATAAAATTGAAGTGTCTGTTTGTAATGTCAAAATAACAGTTTTTTACTAAATGCATATCAAAGTATATACGGAACTTATAACAAAAACACAACTTTTAATATTTTTGTCTGTCTGTCTGTTTGTTCCGGCTAATCTCTGAAACGGCTGGATGATGTCATAAGGAGTATCTTAGGCTACTTTTATTTAAAAAAAAGGAATAAGGATTCCGCGCAAAAAAAAAATGAAAACAACAAATAACAAGCGGGCGACGTCGCGGGGAACAGCTAGTGACCTACTGAACTACTGTGTTCCGATCTTTTAGAGTATTGAGAGCCAGTATAATTACAAACTGTGAGACGTTCAATCAAGTTCTTAAAGGTGATAACACACTTGTAGCCTTCTTTGCTTGAAGTTGGTTGCAGCGGTCCATGAGCTGCAGTAGCCACTTACAAAGTGGACAATAAGTTCGTTTATCACTATAATTTTATAACTAAACTAGCTACTCCCTGTGACTTCGCTGGCGTGTTATTTAGGGTATTAATTTGTTTGTGCGGAACCCTAATTATTTTTGTAAAATATAAGTAGCCTTAAGTTACTCCTAATAACATCAGCTATCTGCCAGTGAAAGTCCCGGAGTTTCCGAGATTAGCCGGAATAAACAGACAGACAGACAAAATTTAAAAAATTGTAGTTTTTTTTTATAAGTACTGTATAGTGTAAGTATATATTTTCATGTGTATTTAGTAAAAAAACTGTAACTTTGACATTACAAACAGACACTTCAATTTTATTTATTTGTATAAATATAAATGGGTAATTTATGAAACGTACATTAACTAAAAGGAAAAGATAAAGTGTACTAACAAACTTTAAGGCCCGTATTAATGAACGTTACTCAGCTCAAGTACACGCACTTGAGTAAAATCTTGTTTATGATCTTATTAGTAAACATATCTCAAGATGTGGTTTAGGTTTACGATATCAGCTGAGTGCCACACTGATTAATAAACGAAACTCGACTCTCAAGTGTATGTACCTACTTGAGTGCAAGTCACAGAACAGTATTCCTAAGTACAGCGTTTTGAGATACTGTTTTTATGTGTTTAATAATTAGCAACGATCTTGAGATGCTAATATCGTAATGAGAGCGTATCAAATGATTAGTCATCGTCTTTGAGTAACGTATATTAATACGGGCCTAAGTTTGGTGGTAAGTAAGTTGAATAAAGGGTGTTTTAAGATCTTAATTTTCTATTTTCATTTACCATTCCAGATCCAGTACGGCGTTATTCCAATTCCTAAATCAGTTCGCAAGGAGCGTGTGGAGGAGAACATCAACGTATTTGACTTTGAATTGACGCCTGAAGAGATGAAGAAACTAGGTGAGTTGATAATATGAATGTTGCCAACGTACACACTAATCATTTTCCTTATTGATTTTGATTATTGGAAGTTGTTATATAGTTTTTGTATATCAAACGAAGCCTCACCGTGAAGGGTAAAAGGTAGACTATGTCTCTTCGGGTAACGGTTCAGTCTAGGGAGCGACTAACACCCCGTGAGGTAGTAAGAACTTCTATATTTATACTATATACTTTTATACTTGGTAGAGCCATGCTGCAACTATATTAGTAATTTAGTTGAAGCACGAATTGGTTGGCTGGATCGGCGAAGAAACACGCCTTCGCAGAATATATCAGCGTAAAATAACAGCTTAACACTGCTGTGTTTTGTATGGTGAGTGTAGAGAACCGGAGACCCTTTTTACTGGAAAAGAGGCATTCCATCATAACGAGGAAAGAGTGACAAAGCAATGAATGTAAATGTTAATATACGCCCAATGGAGCAGACGGATTTTACTACCCAGTTTGCTCCGCTTAGTAATAATTGATTACCTAACTACTAATAATTAACTAAATATGTAGTAATTTAATAATTTAATTCCATTTTCAAAAAAAGTCGTTACAGTAATCAGACAAAATAGAAAGATGGACGGAGCGCTGCGTATACTCGTATTTCAATTGACACTGAAACCATGCTCTACTTCTGGCCGCTTTAACGCACACATCTTTCATCTTTCTTTCTTTATCAGCTCGTAAAAGTTCATTATTGCACACACACATGCACCTTAACCATGTTGTTGGTTGCTAATGGTTATAGATGATTATGGGTACGTGAGTGCGTGCTCTTAAAATAAGTTGAGCATGGTTTTGGCTTGGTTTTTGAATCACTTGAAGTGTGCGGAGCGGTGTCTCACACCCGTGCCTCGCAAAACACGTGTCGGTTTACCGTCCCTTCGGACTATGAGAGCGAGGGAATAGACGGTGCATATGTGTTTGCGCATACACTTGGGCACTATAATCCTGTCCTGCGCCGATAGCTGGTCTCCGTTGAGGCTGGCCACCAGGACTGCAGGACACTAAAGCTATTAGTGATAAGAATCAAACAATTGGCATTCTCCACCAGTCAACCTTTGCTGTATAATCGAGCTTTATATGTCTTTTTTTTTCAGCTGAGTTCAATAAGGACTACAAAATCGTTTTGCCAAGCTTCTGGCAGGACCACCCCTACTACCCTTTCGAGAAAAAAGATGTGCCCGATCCAGATCTTTTTAAATGGGGCCAAAAGACTGAATGAATAAAGTTTAAACATAATTAATATGTAATGAAGTGATTGAGTATATCTCTATTTTTGTATTGTGTCCTTTTTCAGATGTTACAGAAGTGCTTTTTCAGATTTTTCGTTCTGTTTCTTGTAAAACACATGTGAAAACCTTTGCTTTTTCCTAATAAATATCGCTTTTTTTATTTTTCATCTTTTTTCTTGACTTTAATTTCCTTAATGTTGGAGTTTTCTCCTGTGTTTTAGATTCATTTTGTATGAATAAATTGCACATGATGTATAGATAAATACACAGACAGATTGCAAGAAGTGATAGCAACACAACAAAAAAAAAGTAAAATTACAGCCTACATACGTTCCACTATTGGTCCGAGAGCTCATGACGCATTTTTCATCAAGTATTTGATACATCATGAAACTTTCTTGAAAAATATCAGTCTACTCAATAAGCAGGTATATGATTGTTTGCCTGGCCTACCTGGGTACACCTAGTACTGCGCATACAGGTCAGTCGCAAAACAATGCCCAAAAACTCAGCTAAGATGATAAAGAATTAAGAAAAAAATGGCAGACACTTCTGAAGGTGTATTATTAAAAAGGGTTATATTTTCAAAAATTCCAAAAAATAGTGTTTGATTTAATCTGCAAAAATTGAACAAAAAATTGTCGCAAAAGGGCAGGCAGTTTCTCCGGGGCTTAATAATTTTAAAATCTAAATAAATAAATAAAATTGAAGTGTCTGTTTGTAATGTCAAAATAACAGCTTTTTACTAAACACAATTTTTTAAATTTTTGTCTGTCTGTCGGTTTGTCCCGGCTAATCTCCGAAATGGCTGGACCGATTTTGACTGGACTTTCAAATGTAGGGTAACCTTCAACTTTTAGTTGTAGGCAAAAAGTCATATACCTGCTTATTGAGTGGACTAATACTTTTCAAGAAAGTTTCATGATGCATCAAACACTTCATGAAAAATGCGTCATGAGCTCTCGGACCATTTTGGGCATAAACCTCCTCTCATTTTTGAGAGGGTTATAGGGCAAGGTAATGTCCACCAAGGTGCCCCAACGCGTGTTGGCGAACTTTGAAATATTTTATTTTAATTTCTCAGACATGTAGGTTTCCTCATGATATTTTCCTTCACTTCTGAGAACATAGTAAATCAGCACTTAAAATTACAACTAACAATTTCATTGATGCTGGCGAGGATCGCACCCGGCGTGTTCACGTTCTGTGAAATTAACAGCCAGTGCTTAGAAATTAATTAAAATAATTAATTAATATTACATAAATTAATAACATAAACACTCACGCCTGTCACCCAGAGGCGTAGGCAAAAATACAGACTTTCGTTAGGCACGATTCTGACACACCTCTCTCGCCTCCTTTACGTCCATATACCTACACATATGTACATACATGCTCGTCGGTTAAGGGTACTCTTAATTCCTTCTTCAATATATCACTTTCCGCTGTTATAATCTTAATTTTCCTCAATACGAACAATAAAGTTTTTATTATCAGTTAATTGATTGCTCCGTGGTGCAGTGGCTTAGCAATGAGTTGCAACGTTGGGGACACGGATTCTAATCCCAGACGGAACAAGTATTTATATGGCCTACAAATAACTGTTCTGGATCTAGATATTTGTCCTAGCAATTTATGTTTGATAACTGCCTCCACGATACAGGAGAAAATCCTAGTGTGGGGGTAATGTTTCTTTAACAAAATAAAAAAGAAATAAAAGAAATACTAATACATTGCATAACACCACGGTGTATTCTACTATTTACCTACTAATATCTAAGGATTCAATTTTCTCACAACATCTAACCATACAGTAGAAGCGGTCTTAACAAAGGCGCGTAAAGGGCTAAGTGATACAGACACTCGCACGCGGACGTAAGGTGCATTTTGATTTAATACGCGCGCCACATAATTTTTTTCGACGGTCGACGAAATAAACGGTAGGCTAATTTCATGAAGGTCACTTCCGAGGCGTGCAAGGTATTATGAACATTAGCGACGTTGTAACTAAGTTTAAACTCGCAAGTTTGCTATCAGAGAATGATCCTTCTGTTCTTGCACATAATATGCAACTAAAATCATTTCCAACATAACAACGTGGTTTAAGTCTAAATTTTTTATCAAGCAAGTTGAATAAGGGTTAAATACTTCTAAAGAGTGCATGATTGATAATAACCCCTGGGAATGAGGTGATCGCTACCTTACTGTTTCTAAATGTTTTCATACTTAAATGTATAAAATTTTATAATGCAAGTTAATATTTGAAAAGAAGGCCCACTGGGTTACAGACCGGTTCTTCCCAGTGCACAGAACGGAGGTTTTTTCGAACCAGTGGTAAAACTTAAATGACTTGATGATTCAATAAGTTTTCTTGTAATCTATATTATCTATTCTATTCTATCAGGTAAATGCTTGTTCTTACTATTGTAAAATAAATTATTATTAAGAAATGCTTTAGACGTAACGGTGCGTACACATTATATAACATAACAAGTTATAAAACGTGTGTTATATGTTTGATGTTTTAGATGTTTCAGTAATATGGAGGATGAATGTTATAAAACGTGTTATATAACGTGACACATATGTTATATAACTATAACGGCAGATCGACAAATGACAAAGTCATACGACAATGTCATATAACATTGTTATATTGCATTGTTATTCTAATGTGTACAGTATTGTTCTATGTTGCAATGTTGAAAAACAATGTTACATAATGTGGACGTGTTATTAAACAAAAGTTACACAACATGTTACTTAATCTGTACGCACCCTTACTTGAAATGTACGTAGTGTTGTATTTGCAGACTGTTCATACAAGGGTCTCATAACGCACGCAATGAAGCGCGGGGTTCACGTACAGTAGAACACAAAAAAAATAACGCGACCGTACCGTTGGGCGTACCAGATATTTAATAAAAACTGGCCAAGTGCGAGTCCGACTCGCGCATGATGGATTCCGTACCATCGTAAAACACGTTTCTAGTATTTTTTTATTTTTTTTTATTTTTATTATTTCTTGTTATAGCGGCAACAGAAATACACCTTCTGTGAATTGTATTTCAACTGTCTACCTATTACGGATCATGAGATACAGCCCGCTGACAGACAGACGGACGGACGAACGGACGGACAGCGGAGGCTTAGTAATAGGGTCCCGTTGGTTACCCTTTGGTTACGGAACCCTTAAAGTAATTATATATTAATTACATTTTCTTTGAAAGTTAAGGCAAGCGGGCAGTTCAAATGTGTTGCAGGTTTGCCAAAATAAAAAGTTATCAATATATAACACAATCAATCATCGTACGAAAAGGGATTAATTTTCTACGACCGATAATCTCAGACCAACTAAAAATATAGACGAAGCGCTGCGATTAGATTTCAAGTAACGTCGAAAAAAGCTCAACTTCATGATTCTTTCTTAATTCATTCTATAACAGCCTGTCAAAGTCCACTACTGGGCCCACACATATGCCTCTGGAACCATGTTGTAGGTTGAAAATGACCTTATTAACATATTATGTGTGCGTAAGTGCGTGACAATAAGAGTGGCCACTCACGGTCAATTAACTGGTCAGTTTAACTGACGTACATCCAAAAACTGACCGTGAATGTGAAATCTTAAGTTGAAATTTTTAACTGAAGACAACACACGGATTTTTTCGAGCGTGCTGTCAGTTAAACCGCTCAGTTGAACTGACGTACATCCAAAAACTGGTCGTGAATATGAAATCTTAAGTTAAAATTTTTAACTGACGGCAACCCACGTATTTTTCCGGGCGCACCGTAATCCGCTGGCTTCAGTTCGTTTCCATTATTGGTAAGTACATACTTTCTTAGTAGCTTTTATTTATATTTTATATTTTTTTTATAACATTATTTGTATGCTGTTTAGATTTTATATTGTTTTATATATTTAGAGAAGTTGGTTTGACAGAGGATGGAGACCAAGGTGACTGTAATGATGTCACCTTCCTTATGGTGGACTCAGAAGGTGGGTAAAGGGTCTCAGTGATGCTACTACGTAGAACCATCCAATCCGAAGGTGAGTATAGGATCTCAGTGGCGGCACTAGATAGAAAGGTCGTGTTTGAACTCATGTGAAAGGGCTCATAAAGACTTAGGTGACTGTTATGATCTCACCATTCTGATGGTGCAATCCGAAGGTGGGTATAGGATCTCAGTGGCGGCACTAGATAGAAAGGTCGTGTTTGAACTCATGTGAAAGGGCTCATAAAGACTTAGGTGACTGTTATGACCTCAACTTTCTGATGGTGCAATCCGAAGGTGGATATAGGATCTCAGTGGCGGCACTAGATTGAACTATCGTGTTTGAACTCATTTGAAAGGGCTCATAAAGACCTAGGTGACTGTTATGACCTCACCTTTCTGATGGTGCAATCCGAAGGTGGATATAGGATCTCAGTGGCGGCACTAGGTAGAACGATCGTGTTTGAACTCATTTGAAAGGGTTTATAAAGACCTAGTTCAATGTGATTATATTACCTTCATAATGGTGGACTAAGAAGGTGTGGTAAAAGACCTCAGTTATGCCACTACGAAACACCATCGTGTTTGGGCTCATTTGAAAGGGCTCATAAAGACCTAGGTGACTGTTATGACCTCACCTTTCTGATGGTGTAATCTGAAGGTGGGTATAGGATCTCAGTGGCAGCACTAGATAGAACGATCGTGTTTGAACTCATTTGAAAGGGCTCATAAAGACCTAGGTGACTGTTATGACCTCAACTTTCTGATGGTGCAATCCGAAGGTGGATATAGGATCTCAGTGGCGGCACTAGGTTGAACTATCGTGTTTGAACTCATTTGAAAGGGCTCATAAAGACCTAGGTGACTGTTATGACCTCACCTTTCTGATGGTGCAATCCGAAGGTGGATATAGGATCTCAGTGGCGGCACTAGGTAGAACGATCGTGTTTGAACTCATTTGAAAGGGTTTATAAAGACCTAGTTCAATGTGATTATATTACCTTCATAATGGTGGACTAAGAAGGTGTGGTAAAAGACCTCAGTTATGCTACTACGAAACACCATCGTGTTTGGGCTCATTTCAAAGGGCTCAAGAAATATCTACACAAATAATATAAATATAATAAATAGTACAAACAGTATTATTACTCACTTTATAATGTTTTCAGGCAATTAAAAAAGCAGCAAAACTCCCAAGTTGTACCTACTTTTATTAAATTAGAAATCGACCATATATTAGAGACAGGCAATAAAAAAACAAGGCAGAACGGAAAAAGCATAACCAACTTTAACAAGAAGACGAAAATATCTGCGTACTTCAAGAAAACCTACGAGCACCATTATCACCAATTCCAATAAATGACCAAGTTACCTGTACTCAGTATTTAGAATTCAATGATTTTTGACTGATTTATTATACGAATACTACACATTTAATAAAATGAACTTTTCGGATTTTATTTTGTTTAACTTATTTTCATTCGTGACGTTTGGGTGCTTCAACTTATTTTAGTATGTAACGCGTCGAGAGCTCAATTAGATAAACATAGAAAGCTAGGCCATCCTAACTATTTCCGTTACTGAAAACCGATAAGCATTATCTGTTCATCATAAGACCTTCAGAATGTGCCCATGCCCACGGACCTTTTTGGGCTCACCGTAACCAGAGTGCAAGTTAGTATCTGTGGAGTGTCGCCCGCTCTACTAAAATAATTATAATTATACTAAAATAATTAAGTAATTTAATAAATAGAAAAAAATAAATAACACATTTATTAAATAAATAAAATTTACCATAATGAATAAAATCTATACGATCCTGTAAATACTGTTAAAAGAAATAATCGATCTCAAAATAAATTGAATATTCAATTCTCAAAATTAAAATTATTCACAACAGGTCCCCATACGATGGTAATTAAAATATATAATAATGTTCCAATTAACTTCAATAATATTGACAACACTAAGTCTTTTATAAAAAAATTAAAGTCATTCTTAATCGATAAAAGTTATTATAATTTAAGTGAATTCTTTATAGATGCAAATAAATAGCAAATGTATGTGTAATAATTTAAAAAAAATTGATGTTAGACTAGCAAATGTTAAGAAATAAGATAGTTGGTATTTAGTATGTAGTAGTTAATATTTAGTATAATAAAATAAATAACTACCCTCTTATAAATTGCTATGCCCCTACGTGGCGTCACTTGATGTGTGATATGTTTCTTGTGGCATGCAAATTATATAAAGAAATAAAGAAAGAAATAAAATTATCATAATATCTGACCCATGACTAGATAGAACGATCGTGTTTGAACTCATTTGAAAGGGCTCGTAAAGACCTAGGTGACTGTTACGACCTCACCTTTCTGATGGTGCAATCCGAAGGTGGACGGCACTAAGTAGAATGATCGTGTTTGAACTCATTTGAAAAGGTTTATAAAGAACTAGTTCAATGTGATTATAATACCTTCATGATGGTGAACTAAGAAGGTGGGGTAAAAGATAAAAATAAATAATGCATTTAATAATGAATAAAATTATCATAATATCTGACCCATTTCTTAAAAGTGTTTTAATACTGACCTTATCATGAATAAAAATATCTTTTGAAGTGTTAATATATAGGAAACGATATTTATATATATATATATATATATACGGAACGTATTTCATTTCTCGATCGACGGGGCCGCTGCCGTGCGCGTTTGGTTGGCGTGACTCCTATAAATTAAAAATATCATTTCCTATCTATTAACTAGCTGTTCCCCGCAACTTCGCCCACGTGTAATTTATTACGATTGGATTTCATGGGTTTTAATGTTTTTGCGCGGAACCCTCACTCTTTCTAAATGAAAAGTAGCTTAAGTTCCTCCTTATAATATCAGCTATCTGCCACTGAAAGTCTCGTCAAAATTGGTTCAGCCAATTCGGAGATTAGCCGGAACATACAGACAGAAAGACAGACAAAATTTTAAAAATTGTGGTTTTGTTATAAGTACCGCATGTACTTTCATATGTATTTAGTAAAAAACTGTTACTTTGACATTACAAACAGAAACTTCAATTTTATTTATTTGTATAGATATATATTAATAAACAGGAAATTATATTAAATAAGATTTAGATATTATTGAAAATCATTTAATTTATCTATATATATGATATTTATAGGAGTCACGCAAACCAAACGCCCACGGCCACGCCCCACGTTTGAACTAGGACTGTTGATAAAATATCGATATATAGAAAAATCTATTTTATTATTTAGAAATATCGATATTTATTTCTAATATTTTTGGACGACATATATCGAAATATAAGTTTGATATTGAAATATACATATATATTTATTATTACATTTTTTCACGTAAATCATTTAATCTACAACACCATCGTAAACTTAAATCCTAATCCTTGATGGACCCAATCTACTATACTTTATTTACACTATATTATGTTTTTCATTTTTCCCCAGTTTATTTATTTGCTTATTATCTTAAAAAGAAATGTAATCTTGTATAGTATATCTCTGTGATATTAAAATCACTATAATCTATTAAACTTAGTACTCCTTTACTTACTGTGAGTTTTGGCAGGAGCTTGACCATCGACGGATGGTTGCTGCTGTTTTATCGTTTAAATAATAGATTGAAGTGGATTTTATCAAAGTGATGCGATTATGTGTAATAAGTGTCTGCACATGTGAGCTATTAGAGAAAACGACGAAATAAGTGCTTCGATGTTAGTATAATCCGCAAGTTATTTTAATCGCTTAGGCGTCTTATCATTTACTTCCGTGCTATCAGAAATAGCTGTTAAATATTTGATTTCTTCAGCTGCATCCGTAGCATCTGAACGAATTACTTCTACAATCAATCTTTTAGTGCCCAATCATCGCAGTATTGAAACAGCTGAACATATAAAACAACGAGTATTTTTGAAAACTCTTACTGAAAAATATTGGTAAACATAATTGTTTAATTTAAATTAAACAATAATTAAAGTTAAAGTTACAGCCTTATACGTCCCAATGCTGGGCACTCCTCAGCTGGGCAGGCCTCTCCTAATTTCTGAGAGGGTTTTAGGGCAACGTCCGCCGCGCTGCCCAATGCGTGTTGGCGAACTTCACGTTTTTTGAAATTTTTATTTTATTTCTCAGACATGCAGGTTTCCTCACGATGTTTTCCTACATCGTCGAGCACGTGGTAAATCAGCACTTAAAATTGCAATTAACAATTTCATTGGTGCCGGCGGGGATCGAACCCGGGTTGCTAGCGTACTGTGAAATTTACAGCGAGCGCTAACCATCTGAGCTACCACGGCTCATTAATAATTACTAAGAATTTTAACCTAACATTTTCATTCATTTATAATTTAATTTGTTTAATAAATATACTAAATTATAAACTGTGTAAATCATTTTTAAGCAATAAGCATCGATATATCGCTTTAGTTTTCGATATATAAAACTCCGATATTGATATATTTATAATTATCGATATATTGAAAATCCGATATTTTAAAAATATCAACAGTCCTAGTTTGAACTGATCAACTGGAATGATCAGTTGAACTGATCGTGTGTGTCGAAATTGTTTTGGATTAAATTCGTTAGAAATGATCAGTTGAACTGATGTCAGTTTAACTGACCGTGTGTGGGGACCATAAGATATGCACGGTATTGGCTTATTTTCGATGTCACTTAAAATGTACCGAAATGCACCGTCTACCTTTCTTTTTTAGTCCGAACTGATAATATAAAAATGTAAGCCATCTTGATTACAAACATATGAGATTAAAAACTAATGTCCCACATTATTAATATGTTTATCTAAAAAAATAAATCAAAAACGTTTTTTTTACAATGCATTTTATTACAAAAAAAAAATTAGGGGCAATCGACGATTAAAAAACGATTATAAAACGTTACCTAGTTTTATTTCCTTCTCAAATTACATAGATAACAATTTTTTTTTTTTTTTAACAATATATTCTATTTGGTAATTGTCAACTTATAAGGAGCCACAGAAAAACCAATTTCATCGATTACAATCGAATATAAACAGATAGTTCCGCGAAACTTTGTAACAATCCTACCATTTTTAACATACTGTGTATATGATTAATAAAGGATTTTATATATTGGTTGATAACAATTTACGACTTAAGTAGTGAGAGATTGCTCCTAATTTTAGAATCGTCATCACAAATATTCGATAAACCTAGAATATTTTATTCCTTCCACGTATAAAACATTTCATGTACATACACAAAACGAAAAATCTGCCAGTACAGATATGTAAACAAGAATAAATTTAGAGAAACATATTATTTGAACGTATTTCCTCTTTATAATTCAAAACAAATATTAATGGGTAATCCATGATATTTACTGATAACATACATTATAATTAATCTGTAAGATAACCCAACTATGATAAACGATATTTTTGAAAAAGTAGATCTCTAAGTTTTGGTGTTAACCACAATATTGATGATTTTAATATAAAATTAAAAAAAAAATAGATATTCATTACAACCTTTTTTTATCTATTGACTCAACTCAACTTCTTGAAACGTTATCACACATTATTCTTCTTTCTCTTTCTGCCGACTTCCAAAAAGGAGACGGTACTCAAATCGACTGTATGTTTTTTTATGTGTGTTACCTCATAACTTTTTACTGGGTGAACCGATTTCGATGATTCTTTTTTAGTTGAAAGCTGGTACTTCTCGTGTAGTTCCGTACTAATTTGATCAAGGTCAGACCAATAGTTATTGAGTTATTCGTAATAACTTATATTGAAGTCGGCTGTACAAAATGTTTAATTTTAAATTATAACAGCTCGGCTTTAAACGCACACATATGCAACAAAAAGCATGTTATAGGTTGTATATATACAGGCTCGTATATATAGGCTCGTAACATATTTTATATACATAGACAAGTACATTTATTATTAATGACCAATAAGTATCATGTACTATAATCTATAATGAATAAAAATGATTCTATTCTATTCTACTCTATTCTATGCATTGCTAATGTGTATGTTCTTACAATAAGTTGAGGATAATTTCGATATGGTTCAGTTTCACTTGAAATCTACGCAGCGCTTCCTCTACCTTTTTTTGTTGGTTGGAGTCTCGAGCCAAATATCTATAGTAAAATATATGAAACAAAATTAAAAACAAAGTTCAAATTTCAAATCAATACAAAAGTTATGTATTCACTTTTGTTCATTTTACCGCATTTTGGTTATTCCTTAGTCCTTATTTTTTGTTCACGACGTTTAGAGAACGTAACTTTACAGCACCCGCGCTCTAGAGGACAATTTTATTTAATATTTAGTAAGTAAAATTATTGTAAAAAAAAATTAAAGTCACCATGTCCACATAAAATCTAGTTAGTGTAAGCGGAAGGAAAAGAACATTCTATTTCAATTCTTGGTCTTCAAAGTTCGGGTCTACTTAACGGCAATGAACTCGCTCTTCAGTTCGTCCTCCTGTTCAACCATGCACTTGACGTTAGCTTCGAAGTCACACTGTTGGGTTCTCTCGTTGAAGAATAGTCCATCTGAGCAGTAGGCGGCTTGAGGGACTCCGTTCATGCAGCGCCAGTAACGCTGGCAATCGCCCCTGTAATTTAATAATTTAAAGTAAGTACATGGTAATTTAATAGTTAATGATATATTTTTCAAATATGTAGTCTAAACACCTTCTTCTTCATCGTTATCAGACCATAAAAGTCATTGCAGGTCATGGACCTCAGGTGAATCGACGGCTGGGTGTTTTACGTCTGGTGTAAGCGAGGTGGTTATACCGCCATCTGTTAATAAACAAAGTCTTGTAGCTTCCACAAGATTTTGCTGGAATATCTCATGACACTCAAAGGGCGAAATGGGCGAAATGGGCGAAATGGGGCGATAGATTATCAAAAGGCAAAACTACAAAAGCAGCAAAAGTGAATCAATCAAGATTTTTATAAATTATATTATACAGGGTTATTTTGCAATAACCGGCCAAATTTGCAGAGAAGGTTCATAATAAGTAATATAGGCAAATGGTGAAATTAACTAAAAAAAATTCAATAATTCTCTCCTTTTTATCTTTTAAATTCAAAATGTGTGGTAACGCATTATTTTAACTAATTTTACTGCGCACGCACACATTCGTAAGGGTCGATCGGTAGGCAAAAATGTTGTTCCCATAAATCACATTCAATTTGGGATAATTTCAAATAAAAATAGAAGCCTTATTTGCTCATATTTTCCAAAACTGCAATAACAGTATATCATTATTTATATATTTGAACTTAAGTTTAAAATTTGGTTACTCTTTGAAATATAACCCTGTATATACGAGTATTTATGTTTTTATTAAATTATCGAAGCTCATTGACCTGCAGACATTTCTAAATAAAGAAAAGCCACAGATGTTTTTTTCCTTTAAACCGAAGCATTATGGGTGCTGTCCACGCAGTCAGAAGAAATATTTTCGCTTGGGGCGTAGCAAATGAGAGGCCAAAGGGGCCATTATCCTGGGCCTTAACTTTTTAAATGATTCTTCGATTTTTACTATCTCTTTAAATATTCGTAGAAATTTAGTGTCTGTAAAGACAGATGTAATGTAATGGCACTTCTGAATTAATCTATTACCAAACATCATCCTAGCAAATCAAAGAATTATCATAGATCTGCAGGAATTTCTTGTTTAAATTCTACGCGGACGAAGTCGCGGATAAAAGCTAGTAGTTAATACATTAAAATGTGAAAGAAATAAATGTGTCAATCCTAAAATATTTATTTAAAAACGTAAAAATACTATACAGGGTTATTTTGCAATATACCGCCAAATTTGCAGAGAAGGTTCGGAATAAGTAATATAGGCGAATGGTGAAGAAAATTAATTAAAAAAAAATCTCGAACATTCTGTCCTTTTTATCTTTTATATTCAGCATTATTTTAACTGATTTTCACTCATAAATATCTAACGCCTACTATTTTACTACGCACGCACACGTTCGTAAGGGCCGCTCGGCCGGTAAAAACGTTGTGAATTGAATCGCACACAGAGGAGCGCGCTTACGTGTATGTGGTCAATCCATGCTGCTTTTCCTCACTGGGTGGCTATACTTAGCTTATGAGCAAGAAAAGACTCATTATTTGGAAAATCTATAACAATATGTTCAACCAAAAGATAACATAACCCAACATCAATGTACTATTTCAGGGCTACTTGGAACTGAACCCATTACTGAAGGATGCTAGTGTGCCAGTGCAATTCAACGAGAGACCCGTGCTGTGCAAAATGTGCAGAAACTATTGCACGCTGCTACAACGACCAGGACATAATGATAAATATGCAGAGGCTTGTCGTCGCAGGGATGATTTTCTGTTTTACAATATTAAAGTAACAATGAGCTTATGATAGACTTCATATGTTTACGTGGTAGAGCCACGCTACAGTTATATTAAGGTTGTAGCACTAATGGGTTGGCTGAACCGGGGTAGGACCACACTGTCACAAAAGTGTAACGGCCTACGGCTGCTCCCTTAAAGGGTCAAATCCTCAGGGGCCCATGAGAAGAGGACTTCCCGAGCAGACGTAGGTCGGGCCTCAATGTGGCCACGTGGAATCTCTCTAATTACACTAAAATATATGGGGGAGCGTTCTATACTACGGCCAGTCGACCGGGAGTAATTAGACGGAGCTTACTTACCTATATCCCAGGCGCCTGGTCCCTCCGGAGTCGGTCTGGTCGCATGTGTTTGTGTAGTGCAAGGGAAATAAGGTGATGTGATGTGTATCTGGGTGTGACTGATGGTGATTGAACCTAGACCTTGGACGTCGGCAGCAGCCCGAGCGTCGACATCGCTCCAACTTGAGGGGGCCTTCCGAGGTTGTCCACAGTCACTTTCCTCTTTCGTCACGATGAGAGTCAATTAACTCAATCGTACGATTAACTAACTTACAGAAGCCACTAACTATCGCTGGGTATAAGGTTAACACACAAAACACACACGGAGTTTCTGGATCAAAGGTCACTACCGTTTCGCGTAGCAACAGTTAGTTCTAGAATATCAGAGGCCGTACTAGCTAATATTGCCGAATGCACTTATGCAGATTCTGAGTCAGACACTATGTCCCTGGGAAGCTCTCCAGTAGGGATGAGCGCCACAAATCCTAGACCGTATTTTTACTCTCCGCGCCTAATTATTCCGAGTTCCCGACAAAATTGACAGCGTGCTAACGTCAGCACCGCTTTCAGACGACTGCCTTCTTCACTTGCGACCCGCGCGCTCTTGCCACGCTCGGCCGAACTTCAAACTGGTATCGCGCCGAGCCGAGTGACATCTGGCGTCGATTCTGGACAGCGTTTGGCGCGAACAGAAGTGTTGTTGCCCATAAATCAGATTCAATTTGGGATAACTTCAAATAAAAGTAGAAGCCATATTGATATTTACTTGTATTTTCAAAAACTGCAATAACGGTGTTACGGCCCGCAGCTGCCCCTGCAAAGGTCGCCTTGGCTGGGGCTCATAGTAGCCAGCTCGACGAGCAGACGCGGGTCGGGCCCAAATGGCCATATGGAAGAATGTCCTATCATACTAAACTGAACGGAGAAGGCTAGAAAATTATAGTACGTACCTGTATCCGAATCTAAGGCCGCCCCAAGGCTCGGTCAGGCCGTAAGTGGGTGTAAGGTGCATGGAAAGTAGTGTTTCGTAATGTGTATGTGTCTGAGACCTAGACCAGCTGAGGTGAACGGCAGCGGCCGATTTCCAGGCTGCCCCACAATGCTGCATCACTCCGTAGGCTTCCCCGCTGGATCATTTCTTTCTTCATGTCACTATTTCAGTCTATTAACTTCATTGTACATTTAACTAACTTAAACTCGCCTAATTCCTCATTCATCGTAGAATCGAACACGTGATACCCGACACAGTAACGGACAGTAGTTCAAAGTTCAACATTCAATGTCCCGGATTCATTTATCATCAAATTACGAATAGTGAACTAACGCGATCTCTTCATGAGTCACCCGGTTCAGCGTTACAAACACTACTAAATTCCTTCGTTCGATATCAAATACCACGCCGCGATAAGAATTCAAAATACGCCTCGTTGACACGTAAAACTAACAAAACAGTCAACACACAAAAAAGGGCACTTAACGCGATGGCACAATTACTTTCAAAGAAGCCTACCGCTGCCCCCTCCTCGCGATGCGCGTGACACCCGGTACCATCGGGCGATTCACGAAGTCGAACGTGATTGGTGTCGTACAAATTATCTTTTTTGGGCCTAAACAAACGATATATCATTATTTATATATTTGAACTTAAGTATAAACTTTGGATGTTGTTTGAAAAATAACCCTATAATAATATATGTCGTTCAGACATACATAATATTTTACGATTATTTTTACTCACTTATAAGGCACCTGTCTAGAGGCAGAATCAGCTCGGAAGCAGTTGAGAATGATGTTATGTCCTCGAGACCTGGGTGGCGCCTCCAAGGACATTGGCCTAACCGCATTCAATACCTCTTCGGCTGTCAGACTGAGGACTGAACCTGCAATTGAAAATTTAAAATAACAAAATGCCTGTCATATTATAATTATGGAGGCAAGATAAAATAATAAATGACTTAGTTTACAGCCGTGCCGTTGTCTTTTCAGCACGCGTCTCAATCTTTTGATATGACGCAGTCAATGCTAAGACATAGTGCATAAAATATTTATTACTGTGAAAATTATTATATTATTTTTAGCTCTTTGCAGTAGAGTTTAACTTTTTTATTTTAAGCTTAATTTTTAGACCCCTTTGGTTGGGAGAAATATTACTACTACCTCAATATAACAACTGTGTAAATAGTTACATTAAAAACTTCATCCCCAATTTTGATGAGTGATTTATTATATTTAAATTAAAGAAAAATCACCCCTGAACTTTAACCTATATAATGAAAAAAATAATTAAAATTGGTTTTCAATTGAGGTAGATACCGCGTAAAATATATACATATCTAAAGTAATTTAAAAAAACATTCAGTCGAATTGATCTTCCTTCTTTTATAAAGTGCAAGTGCTCACTTACATTCTACTCTATGGTAAAAAAGTATAGGGAACTAACTATCATTTGTGATGTAATAAAAATATTTTGAAGACGTAATATAGGTCAGTTTTCACAGAAACAGTGCGGTTCATATCGTCTTCATAATCCCATCAGAAAGTGAGGTGATCTGGTGCACAGCAGAGGATAGTATGAAGTACGTGTGTAGGACGATTCTATACTTTTGAATTAACAATACTAAATTTGTTAGTTCGTAAAGATTCCTCTACTGACTCTGGAGACTTTATATCGTGATATTGAATATTAAAATATGAACTTCAGGAAATCGAATGCACTAAAAATAAAATCTAAATGGAATCTTATAAAGATAATAATAATATACTTATACATAGATGGAATACTTTACAGATTATAATATAAGACTGGGAGGCATTTCATCTTAGTCCACAAACCTCAGAGATGACAGCACAGCTATAGTAGCTTTATTTGTAGATGCTTGCAGGTGTTCAGAGACTGCAGTAGGCACATACCTGTGTGCACGTGGGCTGTAAGTTTTTTTTAATAGGAGAGGGGGCAAACGAGCATGCGGGTCACCTGATTGTAAGTGACTACCGGCACCCATGAACAACTGCAACACCAGGGCAACCAGGGAAATCGCAGATGCGTTGCTGGTCTTTTAAAAAGGAGTAGGTTCTTTTCTTGAAGGTCCCTAAGTCGTCAGTTAATTAGTTAAGTTAGGTTGACATTTCAATTTAATAAAATAAATCACCGTCGGAAGCCTTTTCGGCGCTGTCTGAGAGCCAGTCGAACTCCTCTTCACCTGAACCTTCCACGTCATTGTCGTCTGGTATATCACGAAGTATGCAATTTGTGTCTCTTGGCCAATTGCAAACCTGACAAAAAATCAAAGAATGTTAGTCAAACAGAAACTCGGTGGCGCAGTGGGTAAGCATTGATTTTACGGCTCTCAAGATCCAACCGTCTAGGGGCGGTGTCAGAATATCCCCTGGGTGTCGTAAGAGGCGACACAGGGAAAGTGGAATAGGAGATGGGCAGCAGCATTTTCCTGCAACAACTCTAAATAATAAAAAACTACGGTTGCCAACCCGCTTGCCACGCGTCTATGAGGGGGACCTATCGTCAGCAGTGGACTTTTGTAGGCTTACAGCCATGAAATGGAATGGTCGAATCATGGACGGAACAAGCGTTTGTACGGCCTACAAATAATTGTTCTGGGTCTGGATACTTGTATATGTTCAATATTAAAGATCAAACAAAAACACGACATGCTTAGTAAAAAAAGAAATGCTCACCTGTATTTCGAAATCGAAATAAAGTCCTCCGGGGCACGTGAAAAGAACTTCCTCGCCGTGGGTGCACATGAAGAACTTCGTACAGTCGGTGAAGTGAGGCAAAAGAAGGAATATCTGGAAAATACAACATGTTATGTCCACACACTATCCCATTAAAAAGGCTAAATCTACTACTAGTTCATTTATATAATTTTGATTTTTTTTTCAATTTTCGAACATCAAGAGCGAGCGTGTATACTCGACCGTCCGAGTAGCCTCAGGGTATGGGCCGGACTGAAAACGAGTGCTATCACTGAGATCGGTCCTTTTCGCAACTTCATGCTGCAGCACAGGGTTTATTTAAGTGTATTTTCTTAAACGTATGATGTTGGTGAAAACTTCGTTTTACTTTTTATGTTGCATGCTTAACTGGAATAAGCGCATTTCTTCTTTCTTATGAGTTCTGACGATTCGATTTTATGACTTTTATTTTTTTTTGCGCGGACCTTTAATTCCTTTCCTAAAATAAATGTAGCCTAAATTACTCCTTATAACATTAACTATCTGCCAGTATAAGTCCCATCAAAATCGGTCCTGTCACTTTGAAGATTAGCCGAAAAAAACCGAAAGACAGACTTAAAATTTGTTTTTTTTTTGTTATTAGTACCGAATATATTTTTATACACATTTAGAAAAAAGCCATTATTTTGACATTACAAACAGACACTTCAATTTTATTTATTTTTTTAGGTAACACAGGTTCTGAGACATTTAATCTTAGTCTTGTGAGATAGCAATGCATTTATAACCTAATTATTTACGTGGTAGAGTCACGCTGCAGCTATATTAGTAGTATATATGTATATATATATATATATATATATATATATATATATATATATATATATATAACTATACTATTAATATAGCACGAATGGGTCGGCTCGACTGAGGAAGGACCACGCTCTTACAGAATACCAGCTTAACGCTTGTGTGTTTCGTATGGTGCGTGTAAAGAACCGGAGACTCTTTTTACTGGAAACGAAGCATTCCATCTCAGTGCTCACGGGTGATTTTGATTCGTAATCGAGGATATATGTAGATGTATATAGGCCACAGCATCCATCTGGACTGTGTGCTCGTGTGTCACCCTTATCCTACAAAAAAACCTTCAGGGTTTTAAGTCAGGGTTGCAGTAATCACTTACCCTTTGCGGTTGGTAACCGTCCTGGCAAGATTGGCATCTACGGCAAATATCCCCCTATGAGTCAATCTAGTGTATGTTGGACAGTGGACTATTTGTTGGCTGTGATGATGGTGAATTCCTGTGCAAAATCTAAAATGTCCAAAATCAAACAAATCACATCAAACACCTTAACAAATCCTTAATTCAACGGGAGCCTTAGACTCCCTACAACGGGAGAAACCCAACAGCGGACTTATACGGGCTGATAATATGAACATGGTAGTGGTAGAACATAGATTGTATCATACAAAAAGTGTTATTATCCAGGGAGAAAACAGTACGTTTATATGGACTAAACGCCGCCCGATACCCTCTTAAGGTACAATTCCGTAGCCGACCGCAGACAGCAGCAGCAGGCGACGTGTCGTCGCGACACTACTGGTTTCTATGTAGTTCTATGAAATACCTTCCGTAGCTAGCGACACGTCGTTTGCCGGAGCGGCAGATGACATGTCGCCCGACCGCAGATCAGTACTGCCGCCAACGCCCGAGCGACACGTTGAATTTTTCTCAAAAAATGAGTTTCACCGATTCCGAGGAAGAGAATCTGATAAACCAGGTGGCCCAATATCCCGCACTGTACGATGCATCTCACAATAATTATTTAAACAGTGTTACAAAATATAATATTTGAAAAAATATAGGAAGGGAGTTAAATAAAAGCGGTAAATAGGTATATATATAACACAAGTCGCCTGCTGCTGCTGCCTGCAGTCGGCTACCTTTAAGGTAAAAATGTATTCACCTGTCCCTTTGGATCGCATTGTAGTGTATTTGGGTCAACTCCCTCGAATTGCTTGTAAACCGCTATTTGCGATGACGAAGTATTAGTTTTAAGAGTTTTAGTTGTGGTAGTGGTGGTGGTGACATTCGCATTTGCTTTGGCGGTGGTGGTGCTGGTGACGTTCGCGTTTGCTTTGGTGGTTGTCGTTGTGGTAGAATTGTTATCTCCTGCAGCAGCAAACCCCAGCACGAATAGTAGAACCACTAGTTTCCCTGTGGACAAAGAAATAACATGAGTTATAACACAGTTTTTTTAATCAAATTTACGTAGTTCCATAAGAATATAATCGAATAAAAGAGGTAAACCAAGAAAGAGATAGATAGATCAGTTAAAACAGAAAGCTAATATAATTTAAAGAAGAATGTACCTAAACGATTCGATAGAAAATATACTGTATTACATACATACATACATTATATATATATACATATACATTGCTTATTTTCCCCCGTCTTTGACATGGCACTCAATGAACTTTTTATGTTCTAAATTCTAACATGAGTATGAGATTGAGTGAACAAATAAGTGTCCATTCATCATCATCATTCATTAGAGCCTATCAAAAGTTCAACTGCTAAACATAAGGTTCCCCATAAATCGACGTTAGACGTGTGTCAATCGTGGATGGTTCGTTCATTTGACCCGGGGTGCGGGGCGTATTACATTTGCAATTACATTTTTTGAACGTTCCGGGTGAAACGATTGACAAGGCCTACGACCAAAGAGTATAGCAATGTCCGACGAGCGACATTATCAAGCAAGTCTCACAGGTCACAGAGTACTGTAACTCGAAATGATGCATTTAATTATGCCAAATGATCCGGTTCGTAAGACAAATTGGTACTTGAATGATCGGGTCACTAGAAATGAATGAATGACATATGTCTAATCGACATGTAGTGGCGGCGTAAAATTATATATATCTAGCACAGAACACAATTACTCTCTAATATCCAGCATATTATGCATATATCTACGAGTACAATATTTTGTAATTTAAATTTCCTAATGTGTAATGTGTACATAGTTAAGATCTATTGTCTATGGCCATAAGGATGTAAGGTCCACACGTTCACACGTTCATTCATATTAACGTATCCTCAATTTCAAGGCACTTCCCTTGCTGCCTCAGCCAGCATCGGAATCCTCGGCATCAAAATATTGAATAACGTACAGTCCAATGGTCACTTGAACCTTCAAGAAACAAGCTTACTCCTTTTAAAAGGCCACAACGCAACATAGTCGGTCTGACTCTCTGCGACCTTTTTACACGTGCTGAACAGATTTCATAAGGCAAAGACTGACTCCACCTCTTACCTACAGAAAATACCTAACTGTCACGGGTATATAAAACAAATATTTATAAAAATATCTCCCAGAACTCCCACTGTGTTAAACACAAAACATGTGAATATATATGTGACTAAAAATATTCTGTATCACATACGACTGTACGACAAAATAACAACATGCCTACTTCCACAAGGGATCTTTGTGGAAAAAAACCGTGGGGTAAAATATTTGAGGGCTGTGCGCAGGCACAAGCAGAACAGGCCTGTGGGAGGGGGCGCACATTCCTAGTTAGCTTAGGGCTGTCAGAACTCTCAATCAGCACCTAGATTTATGTGTGATGTGACAAATGTTCCTCTTTCAATAGTCTGTGGAGTGTATGTCAAGACAAAAAGTTTTTTGTATATTACATAATATCTGTGTTTTAGACATAAAGGTGCAGTTGAAAGCGAGAAACATCATGCGTAATAAACAAACCGAAAATTAAAATTAATACGGTCAAATTACGGAATTTTGACCACTTGGAGGTACTTGAAAAACTCTGTAATTACACAGACTATACTCTTTACACCGAAACACAGAAAACCGAAGTGTAAACACAGCTACGAGTATTTAACGGCAGAAAGATTAATTTATTTATTTATTTCTACCTCTGTCTTTACAGGCGTTCCTAATACGACAGAGTAGGCACATAAAACTATCTAATTTAATAGGGACAGAACACAACTTATCTACTATTATAACACAATACATATAATGTCTCTTTTGTGAATTCACCCAAGGAACAGCAGAATAAATCTATACCCTGAGGTAAACTATTAACTAATCTGTGCCCTGAGCTACTTTATTTAGAGTGTGCAACACTTGGGTCAGTGGGGCCTCCTTTAGAAGGTTGGTGCGTGCGCGTGGTACCGCGAACAGTGGCGGCCGCTTCAGGCGCCACACGTACCTGTCCAGCACACACAACTTAGCCATTCGCAATATCGCCTCGTTATATACTTTTCCACGCAGCAATTTAAACATATATGTTGGCAAACTTAACTCCCTCCTAACCTCCAGTTTGTTATACCCCACCATGCCTAGAAAAAATAATATTGGGTACATTAATGGGTAGAACGGATACACTCCATATAATTTTAAATAAAAAAATCGAATAAACTTATTTTGTATGCGTTCCACCATCAATTTGTACTTAGCTTCGTGCGGGCTCCATATAAAGCCATTACACACTAGGTGACTTTTCACTAGTGCTTCATACAAGGCCCTGACCGCACCGAGATTTGTAAATTCCCGCGACTGACGCAACACAAATCCTAAATTTCTATACGCCTTCCCGCAAATCTTATGAATGTGGTCCCTAAAATTGAGTTTTGAAGTAAAGTGAACACCAAGGTCTTTTACCTCTGTTACCCACTGCAAGGCTACTCCGTCTAAATTATATTTGTATGTGTGAGGCTGGCGTGAATGTGTGAACGACATGACTGAGCATTTGGAAGTGTTAAAAAATAACTTATTCCTATGACTCCATTGTACTACTCTGTCAATGTCCGCCTGTAGTTTGTTACAGTCAGCTGAGTCCTTAACTATTGACACCAATTTTAGGTCCTCCACAAATAGAAGACATGTTGATTGCCATACAACATCGGGTAAATCATTAATCATTAGAACAAATTTCAAGGTGCCTAAATTACTACCTTGACTCACTCCTGACCTGGTAAGGTATGGTTTTGACAGTTGACCAGCCCAGTCTACAAATTGGCTCCTGTTTCTCATGTAACTGGCGAAAAATGACAATGTTTTCGGCGTACAACCCGCCTGCGCCAGTTTCATGAGTAAGATATCATTGTCGACCGTGTCAAACGCCTTACAGAAGTCAAGGTATGCGACATCCACCTGTGCCCCCGAATCCACTGCTGGTACCACTTCTGACATCAGATGAAGCAGATTACTGCCGGTGCTACGCGCCGGGCGAAATCCATGTTGCGCGTCCGAAAGTTGAGCGCTTACCTGCATATATAGTGAATGATGTAATGCTGACTCAAAAACCTTTGCCAGCGTACACAGAACTGCCACTGGTCTATAATCCGAAACTTTTGTACCACCACTGCCTTTGGGTACCTAACCAGACGGACTCCTAGACATAAAGACAGTTCTATCACCTATAACTTATTATATAGGTAATGAGGGTATCCATGACTTTTTCTGCCACCAGGGCAGTGCCACTTAGGAATGAGGTGAAATATTTGACAGATTACATGGCGGGCAAGTTAATTTGTTAGTAAAATGTAAGGTTTAATATTTCTCTCTATATTATATTTTATTAATTAGATTAGAAATAAATAAACCAAACTATAAATATACTTAAAAGTAGAAAATTTAAGACTTTAAAATGTGTAAAAAGGAAAAAGTAAACCACTGATGAATGTTTTGTGTTATATAAATTTTATATTAAGCACAGCTTCTCAAAAAAACGACATTGTGTAATAAAAACCGCAACCTTCAGTCGCAATTAGCGACACCTGTTGAGCGGTAGATTATTAGGTATAAGCCCTCATTACCATATCTTATATTTCATACACTACAACAATATGATAACTTTAGTTGTTGGCCCGTCAATGTTATATTAAATAAGGAGTGATATGGTATCTGCATTTGCGTTTTATCGAACACAGACGTAGGTGTCTATGCGCTACATCACTGATTTTCATCAGGTTTATTGTGTGTCCGCTTGTCATCGTTACATCTTTATAAAAATCATGTAATTAAAAATAATTGCGCGGCATTTTTTCCCCCCGCTATTTTAGCAATGATATTGAAAAAGCTGTATGTTTACCTATTCCAGTGAATCGTTACTCATTTGTTTTCCTGATTATCAATAGGCTGAAAGACTTTTGCGGCTATTCTTTGTACAAATAATCGATATAGATGCTATGTGATAATAATTAATTAATTACGCCTTATCTAGATAAAATCACTTTATGATATGTTAAACGTGAAACGAATACATTCAATGGCTAATAATATTATGTAAAGTATATTTGCTATTATAATGGAGTGGACACTTTAAATTTATTTAAACCTACATGATTTAAGATTAATGAATAAAAAATTTCTTTTTACACAAAGACTAACGTTTTAAATTCTTTTATTTTATATTATTATTTTGCTTGGCTTTCAATTGTTTTTAGATTCAGCATTTGAGTTAAACATATTTAACAGTGGTAGAGCCACGTGGCAGCTTTTGCTGTCGCACGGATGGGCCGGCTCGAACCGGGGTCGTATCACGACCTCACAGAATACCAGCGTGAAGTAGATGTTTATCTCTGCGTTTCGCTTGATGAGTGCAGGTGGCCGGAGGCCCTTTTTACTGGGAATGAGGCATTCCATCTTAGTCCTCACGGGTGACAACGCATCCCCATTTTGATTTGTAATAGAGAATAGATGTAGATGTCCATGGGCCGCAGCAAACTGTAGGCAATCAGGTGGACTGTGTGCTTGTTTGTCACCCTTATCCTATAAAAAAAAACATGGAGACCTTAAAAATTAGAGAAGTTTCCGTATACGAATGCTGACGTTGTTCTAACGCGGCAGAGACAGCTCGCAATATCAATGTTTTGTTTGGAGCGGATACGAACGCAATGTGCGTTTTTGGTGTCACTTTTGTAATGTAAAATTTACCTTGAAGAATGAATGACGAGGAAAACTCACTAAAGTAAATAACGACGAGCCAAAAATTATGGCGAAAGCTAACGCTAGTTAACCCACAATATTGACTCATTTGCACTTAATTGGTTAAATAAAAAAAACACTCGAGAAATGGGTTCCTCGTGAATTAAATGATATGCAAGAGAGGATCACGCCTGAGTTGTCTTGCTATGAAGAGTAGGTAGAGAAATGTAGAGATTTTGGACAGAATATTACGTGGTAGAGCCACGCTGCAGCTTTATTATGGTTGTAACACAAGTTGGTCGGCTCGACCGGAGTAGTACCAAGCTCTCACAAAATACCAGCGTAAAATACCAGATTAATGCTGCTATGTTTCGTATGGTAAGTGATAGAACCGGAGACCACTCAGGAGTGACAACGCATCTGCATTTTGATTCTTAACCAAGGATAAATGTAGACATTTGTGGGCCACAGCATCCATTTACCATCAGGTGGACTGTATACTCGTTTTTCACCGTTATTCTATAAAAAAAGAATTGTTAAGAATGATAAAAAATGGATTTTTTACTATAGCTACAAGCGAAATACGCAATGGCTGAACAAATATCAACGATGTCCTAAAGGAAGCTTGCCCATGGACAAGTAATGGTAACTCTTTGGTGATTACTACATGGTGTAATTCACTATAGCTTTTGAGAGAAAAAAATTGTTCTCAGGGAGAGGCACATATGCATAGAGTTTGAAGAGTCCAGATCCCTGGAATTCTAGACACAATACTAGAAATAGGATTACATACTATGTGTGTTAAACTCCATTCATACAGTCTTTATGAATAAAAACAGCCTGTACTATACGTCATACGTCAAAGAAAAGGTAAGTAGTATTCATTTATTTTATGTATCACCAAATCTCTTTAGTGCAATTTGCCCTTTTGATTAGCTGACAATAATACTGCTGCTCTTGTTTTATCTTTTGAACCAGAAGCTGGACGCTCATCATAAATAAAATGGTACACAAGAAACTCAAGTTTGAATCCGCCGTGCGGCACTGCATAGGTACAACACATAAGTGAACGTACATACAACCAAAAATATTGCCCATATTACATACATATCTTTTTGTAATGTTTTAGATTTGCAGCAACTGAGTAAACAGCAAAACATTGACAAGTCTTAATCAGTAGATAAGAGTGTGACGTTAGCATTTGTATGCTAGATTTACAAACGATTTCACTCCAAAAACACGTGTAATTGAGACGTATCTGATTACTTTGATATATGAGGCCACTAAAACAATAGTGACGTCACATAAGATATAGTGTGTACATCTCAATCCTCGCACACGTATTTTTGCCACAGACTTATGATAATTTTATTAGAATTATTGTAAAGCAGAATTCAAAAATACGTAATAGTGGCAACTATACAAGTCTATTATCCTCAGAGTAATCATAATCGTATGTGTGTAATTACAATTACTCTCCATTACCATATAAAGAAAGAAAAGTACTTTGTTGGTCAGGGATTATAACTAGAACTTGACCGGTGGAGGGTTGCTGCTTCAGTTTGAAGGTTTAAATAATGTTTGAAAGTTGATTTTGATACCTAAAAGTGGTACACCTTTAAGGAATAAAATTTTCTGCGTATGCGAACTATACGGGGAAGCTATACCTATAACAAGTACTTGGATGATGATATAAATTTTGGGTTTTTATCCGCTTAGGGGTCCTGAGAAATTATTTATCGTCATCAACTGTTGGCTGCGTTAAGCCATAAGCAGTCACCAAAATCTTCTAAGAAATTCGCAATGTGACGCATATTGTGAAGTGTTTCATGAAAAAATACATATGAAACTAGGCTGTATAGCCAACGACTTTTGCCTGCCTTAAATGGCGAGCCGGCCGTAGTAACAACAAAATATTGTCGGTTGTCGCTTGTCGCTTGTCGTTTTCAAGCAATAACAATACAAAAAGAATTTGTCGTTAATTAATGTTTACTTAATTTAAACTTCCAATACAATATGATTATGATCTCTTCATCGGATTCTGAAGATGACTGTTATAGTAACGTAGCACAAAAACTGGAAAAGTTAAAAAACAAGTACCAAGACGACAAAATCGAAAGCACTAATCTTCTTGACGATTCAACTGAAACAAAAGGCAGAAGAGACACCCTAGAGACAAAATCAGAAGATAGTGTTGATAGTATTTATGATGTCTTAAAAGAAGATGGTGTACCTGATATTGAATTAGAAAAGCTTTTAGCGGCACACTCAAAACGTGCGACTCGTTCGTCAAAGAGAAATTCAAAGTCAAGTTCTTTTAATTTTGATGATTTGCCTGCTTCAAGGGAACAAAACGTTACAATTGACTCTAGTGATTCAGTACCAGGAAGAGGTAGTAAGAGAAAAACGAATAAAAATACATCAGTGAGTGTTGTTCATAGATCTCCTAGAGGTCGTAGCAGAAGTAAAGGTAGGAGCAGAGGAAGAGGTAGAAGCAGTGGGAGAGGAAGAATTAGTAATGCTTATCCAATTTACAATATTGGAAACACAGATGAATATCTTGACCAATCAGAAGAACAGACACTATTTAGCAATAAGATCACAAACAATGATGTAATAGTGTTAGATGATAATGACATATTAGATGAAAATGAAGAGTTGTCTGTTAAGGTCTACTGGCAGAGCTCAGAAATATTCAAATTCACATTACGAAAATTTCAAAAATTAACCACAATTTTCAGGCATTTTGCTGAGAAAGAAAAAGTGAAACAAGATAAATTGTTATTCACATACAATGACCAAATATTAAAACCTGATGATACTCCTGATTCAATTAACTATAATATTGTGAAGTTCATTGATGGTGGCATTATTAATCAGGATGTGACAAAGTTAATAAAAAATAAAAACAGAAATGAAAGCAGGGGATTGCAAATCAAATTTCAGTGTCAACATTTAAAGAAACCATTTGAATTAACAATTCAGCCTAATGAAAAATTTTCATTGGCCATGATAAAATGTGCGGAGCATCTTGAGAAACCCTTGGATAAACTAAAATTTGAATTTGATGGGGATAGTATAACAGGTACAGTTTTAACATTGCCTTTTAACAATAGTTTTAACTTTTAACACAGTTCTAAGAGATACGTATTATGGCGGGACGTCTTGAGACGTTGCTTAACTCTGCATGGGAAAAAAGTACAAACATTACACCCCTGCAGTACAAACATTTGAAGATGACGTTGCTCATGCGAACGTGTTAACACCTTAGTCATACAAGTCTTTATTTCTGGCAGGGCCTCCCTAGCTTGCCTACAGTCCACTCGATTTTTCCAAAGCTGAGTGTGTTGATTTGTAGTTTTTACGTACCAGTGAATAAATGTTTTCTTCCCAGGACAGAGGTTCTTTTCTGAACCAATGGTAAATAAAATAAAATAGTGACTTTCAATAAGTATTATTTATAATCTATATTGAATAAAAAAGTTTCTGTTTCTATTCTAATTAATTTGTAATAACAATACAAATTTCTCAATATTTTTTTCAGGTACAATGACAGCTAGTGAATTGGAGCTTGAAGGTGGAGAATGCATAGACGTCAAGATAATTAGCTGATTAAACATAAACACTCACGCCTGTCACCCATAGGGGTAGGCAGAGATTATGGACTTCCATTTGGCACGATCCTGACACACCTCTCTCGCTTCCTCCACATCCATATACCTACGCATACACGCTCGTCGGTTAAAGGTACTCTTGATTTGGCCCATTTTTAATATATCGCCAATTTGGTCGATAAACTTTCGCCTAGGGCGACCCTTCCCGACTATGCCGTTCATTAGCTGATTAATATCACAATATTTAGTTGAAATTGTTTTAGGGTTTTGAAAATCTTTTATAGAACATCACTTATTCATTATAACATTTTTAGAGAAGCAATAAGTAATGTGGTGTACCAAAATTGTATGTGAAAAACTTAAACAACAATATTACACTGTCACTCACTTAAGCCTAGTACACAATCAACACAAAACAAACTTGAGAAGTGGAGTTAATGGTTGCCAATAGTTTTAAGTGCTAATGCACTGCTTGGTCAGTGGTAAAAGAAACCATTTTAAGGAGTTATCTGAGAAATCTAAAACATTCCATTAGCATGAAAAATCTTTCTATAAGGGCATCCACAACTTTTTCTGCAACCAGGGTGGTGCCACTATATAGTGAGGTATAATTTTTGACAGATTTCATAGCGGGGAAGTTAATTTGTTCGGAAAATGTATAAGTTATTGTTTCTTTTTGTACTATTAGCTATATTTTATATTAATAACATTAAAAGTAAATAAACCAAACCACAGATATTACAAAATAGAAAAATTTAAAAAAAAGTTAAAATTGTGCAAAAATTAAATAGCAAACCACTGACGCATTGTTTTGTGTATTAATATAATACTCTAGAAACTGATAAACTTTTTTAAAGTTGGTAAAAATTACCGCATGTGAGGTAATTTTTCTCTGCTTTATCAAGCGGATGTACTTGAGGTAATTTTTACCAAATTTATTATAATGGATTTCCACAAAGTAACGCCTGATTCTATTAATTATGATAAAGTTTTATTAAAAAACAACTTCTCAATTAAATTACATTGTATATCAAAAAACTTTACCTCAGTGTCAACTAGCGACATCTGGTGAGCAGAAAATTATTAGCCCTCATTCACATTGGAGCAGTTTGACATTCAGTATGGTATTCATTCTTCATTTATGACAGCCTATCAAAAGTCCACCACTGAACATCCTCCCCTATAGATTACGTCATAGAGATATTTGCCATGTTTGCTACACTTGACGGGCCAGGTTGGTAACCACAGTTTTTATTTTTTAGTTGTTATCAGGAAGCTACTGCTGCCTATTACTTGTTACAGTTTCCCTTTGTCACCTCTTACAACACCCACTGTGTGATATAATGGGGTAATGGGTTCTCTTCCACAGTCACAATACTAATGTTATTATTGAGGATGAAAGCTGTTAATTTACTGGCTATTGCAGTAGTAAACACGTTCACATCTTAAATACATTACTAGTCTTCAATCTAGCTATTTTTAATGTAAATTTGATTCCCAATTTTTTATGTTATGCGACCACAAAATTTTAGTCATTTCTATGTAGTCAATGTTTACAATTTCCAAAGGACAAAATGGAGAGTCGGATTTCTCTTTCGACATTACTTGGTTTGTTTGATAATTTAATTATATTTTTGCTTGACACCATTTGTATTTTATATAATAAATTATATATTAAATATGTATTTTAAAATGATAGAACTGGTAATAATAAATTTATGGTTTTTTCTTCTAATAAAAGTAAAATGATTTCTGCATTATTATAATTATATTACTGTAAATTGTTGCTATAATTTTGATAATTTAAAATATAGTTCCTCACATATTAAAAATGCGCATGCAATTATTTTGTAAAAAAATAACCTTTGATATTGTCATATCTTTAAATCTTTAATTATTTACCTATAAGTAATAAAAGTGCTATATGAAATTTGTTTTACCAATCATTTTGTAATTCATAAACCATGATAATTAATTTCCCAAAAATATAGTTTCATGCATTTATAAAAAAAATATTGATCCTAACATGTTTAAGTATATTATAGAAATGATTCCTTTTGTGGAAATTGTCACATATATCTACACTGTACTCATTTTTCTACATTTCTACCATATTCTGTAACATTATATACTTTTTCAGAATAAATATGTTTACTTTTTAGTAAAATTGATAATGTGTCATTTTGTCTACATATATTTATATATTCATATTTATTGAAAAATTGTGATGTTGTAAATAATTTTTATATTAAATGATAATTCGGAGACAGTTAAAAATTTCGTTCATTATATTTTTGACCGACGTAAACCTTCTAATACAAACCATGAGAAAACAAAGCATCTGACTTTTATTATGTATCAAGCAAATTTTATTATGTATCAAGAAAAATAGTTATTTTTTAAAATTATATAGTAGTAATAATTTATGCCAAATCCTATCTTTTACGAAAAATTAATTCACCATATATTATATACTAGCTGTTCCCCGCGACTTCGTCTGCGCGATTAATTTAGTAGGATTGGATTCAATGAGTTTTTTTTGCACGGAACCCTAATTCTTTTTATAAAATAAAAGTAGCCCAAGTTACTCCTTATAACATTAGCTATCCGCCAGTGAAAGTCCCGTCAAAATCGGTTCTACGATTTCGGAGATTAGCCGGAACGAAGAGACAGACAGACAAAAAATTTAAAAATTGCTTTTTTTTTGTTATAAGTACCGTTTAAACTTTCATATGCATTTTTTATAGAATAAGGGTGACAAACGAGCACAACACAGTCTACCTGATAGTAAGTGGATGCTATGGCTCATAGATATCTACATTTATTCTCGATTAAGAATCAAAATGCAGATGCGTTGTCACCCCTGAGGACTAAGATGGAATGCCACGTTTCCAGTGAAAAGGGTCTCCGGTTCTCTACACTCTCCATACGAAACACAAGAGCATTACCGGGATAGGAGAGCGTGGTCCTATCCCGGTTGCGCCGACCCATTCGCGCTACAAGCATAATATAGCTGCAACGTGGCTCTACCACGTAAAAAATGCATTTAGTAAAAAGATGTTATTTCGACATTACAAACACTCTTCAATTTTATTTATTTGCATAGATTGAATATGGGCTGAATTAAGAGTACCCTTAACCAACGGACTTGAATACGTAAATATATGTATGTAAAAGAAGCAAGCGGGGTAAATACAGTCCGTAGTCTCTGCCTACCCCTCTGGGGTAGAATTCTCCGGCAATTGATAGAGAATTATCAATTGCGCATTTCGATAATCATACACGTATTTTCTGTTTCACTAAGCTTACACATATCAAACATAATAAATATTTATTTAGATATGTAAATGTTTATCTCAATTGTAAACTTGTTTATCTGGCATGTGAAATATTTTTTATGTTATTTAGACTTTATTTTTTTTATAGAATAAGGGTGACAAACGCGCACACAGTGCGCCTGATGGTAAGTGGATGCTGTGGCTCATAGACACCTATATATATTCTCGATTATAAATCAAAATGCAGATGTGTTGTCACCCATGAGGACTAAGATGGATTGCCTCGTTTCCAGTATAGTCTCAGGTTCTCTACACACTATTGGAAACAGCAGCAATTTCACGCAGGTATTCTATAAGAGTATGGTCCTTCCCCGGTCGAACCGACCCATTTGTGCTACCATCATAACATAGCTGGCTCTGCCACGTTAAAAAAATAATATTTATATGAAATAATGTAGCTTTTAAAATGCTTTAATTTGCAGTATAGTAGGTCTAAGCTTTGTTGGGTGTCCTAAAAACCAGTGAAGTATCCTAATAACAGAATATCTAATGACCCCCGATAGATGATAGAATATAATATAAACAATGGACAGATTAACAAAACATTAAGATTAATGCAAACAATTCATGCAGGGTTAACACACAACCTTGTTATAACCTATGTGCCTAGCAAAAGTGAAACTGACTGATTTTTTGATCCCAATGAATTTGTAACCTTTTCTAATACCTAGATTGAGAAAAAGTTTCTTCGTATTTTATATACAAATTCAAGACTTTTTTCCAAAGTTTAATTACATTATATTATAATATACTTATGTGTCATTTTGTTCGATAACTTGTTGCTATCTCGAAGGTAATGACATAATTCCGTTGCTGTAGACATCTTTGTATTTATTATTATTTGGTCTATTTGGCCCTTGGTATTGTGATTATGTCACAATAATTCTGCCAATGTCCGGTCTTTGGTCTGTCGCACCTTGTCTTTAGGCTTTTCGGTGGAAAAGGAGTTAGCGGTTATTAGGTGAAAATATGGATAAAAACAAAGCAACTAAATACATAAATTATGGACCACACAATATAGAGCAAACATCTAGTTATAGGAGAGAATTAGCCTGGGCAGGGAATAGAGAATTAGTTTAAGCTAAATTTAGTACACGATAATTAGAGTTTAATATTATACATTTGAATATATTTTGAGATCATATTGACATATATGGAATTGGGGATAGTTAAGAGGGAATTGATATTCATTGGTCGAGGGATTGTGTTGGGAAGAATGTCATATAAAGAAATTGGGTGATTTTGGCAATTAAAGAAAATGTGGTCTGGGGTACCTTCATCCAGTCCACATTCACAGAGGGAATGATCTTTGATTCTAATTTTAGCTAGAAATACAGGAGTGCAGGCATGCCCAAGCCTTAAACGGCAGATTGTAGATGTGATTTGTTTGTTCAAAAAGCTAAATTTAAAGAACCAAGGTTTTGGAGGGATTTGGGGTTGAATTTTACCAAAGTGACAACCTTTAATATGTCTGGATGTGCTCCATTCTCTGTTCCAAGAGTTCTTTAATTCAATTTGAGCTAATGACATTAGATCATGAGAGTAAATCATTAAATGAGAAGGACAGCCAGTATCAACAGCTCCTTTGGCCCAAGAGTCAGCCTGTTCATTTCCTTCTATACCACAATGACTAGGAATCCACACAATCTCCACATCAAGCCCACTCTTATTACAATTTAGTATGAGTTCCTTAATTTTCAGTATTAATGGGGAGATGGAATTCATTTTAAATATATTGCTCTGTAATGACATTAGGCAGCTTTTTGAATCAGTAAATATAACTGACTTAGGAATTTTATGGGAAAGAATATAGGAAATAGCCTCATATATGGCTACAGCTTCCCCAGTAAAAACAGAAGCTTGAGGAGGACATCTATAATTAAGGACAATTTTGTATTTGGGGATCCAGACTGCGGAACCGACACATTTGAATGGAGACAATTTGGAAGCATCAGTAAAAATATATAGCCAATCAGACCATTTTTTTGCCACAAGGTTGTAGAAAGTTCTGTTTGCAGTGGGGGAATTTTTATTAATGTTTAAATTCAGAGTGATTTTAGGGTTTATTAATATAGCTTCATAGCTGGTTTCAAAATAGGGTAGAATTAGGGATGTTACACAAGGATAACCAATATTTTTTAATCTATTTAGAGATTTAAGAATAGGGGGCCAGCTTTTATTAAACCAGTAGGAGTTGTTTACAGCTAATAGTAGCAAGGATTCTAGTTTACGATGTAAGGGGTGAGATGATAGTTGTAGAGTTTTTGAGAGAAATCTATCAGCTAGAAACTGTCTTCGTAAAGAGAGAGGGGGATCAGCACATTCTACTTGTAAAGCATTTTTAGGAGTTGATTTCATTGCGCCTGTGATAATACGTAAACATCTTGTTTGGATAACATCAAGTCTATTAAGGGCCGATTTGCTGCAGGGCTCCAAAAGAAAAGAGCCATAGTCGAAGTGACTGCGGATGATGGCATTGTATAGGATTTTTTGACACATGGGGTGAGAACCCCACCATACGCCTGAAAGGGATCTAAGAATATTAACACCTTTCTCACATTTGTCACAGATGTTATTAAAGTGAGCAGTACCAGTCATATGACAATCTAAGAAAATACCTAAAAATTTTACTTTGTTAATAACTGGAATAGATTCACCATTATATGAGATATCAATAGTAGGGAAAACACGTTTTCTACTAAAGGTTATTGTTTTGCTTTTAGAAGCTGAAAGAGAGAGGCCATGGTCAGTAAGCCATTGATTAAGATAATATAAGCCTCTGTTAAGATGATGGGAGGCAGTTAGGATATCAGGAGATGTTACATAGATAGCAAGATCATCTGCATATTGTAATATGTCACAGAAAGATGAAATCGAATGTTCAAGGTCATATGTGTAGATATTGTAAAGAATAGGGCTTAAGACCGAGCCCTGTGGTAGACCCTTCCAGATTGTTCTGGGCGAGGTTAACATTCCTTTATTGCGAATTTTGATAGATCGTCCCATGAACAGATTGTAAATGAAGTGTACAGTCTTCGCAGGGATGTTCAGATGAAGCATTTTCTGCCTGAGCACTGGAAGAAGAACACTGTCATAGGCAGATGATATGTCCAGGAAACAACCCACCAAGTATTCATTTTTAGAAAAGGCCAACCTAATATCTGTAGTTAGGATGCTCAAACTATCTAAAGTGCTTTTACCTTTACGAAAACCAAATTGACTTTTTGCAAGGATGTTATTATGTTCCAGAAACCATTCAAGTCTGTTTTTAATTAAATATTCTAAAATTTTGCAAAAAGTAGATGAGAGTGCGATTGGGCGTTATGAAGAAGCTTCTTTGGGATCTTTTCCGGGTTTAAGGATAGGTATAACAATTTGGTTTGACCAAGACAGAGGAATATTAGATGATATGTAGATATTGTTCAGAATTTGGAGAAGAATTAATTTACCTTTAAGGCTTAATTTACATAAACACGCATAGGGTATGCCATCTTCTCCTGGAGAAGAGGATTTTAAGCCAGATAGCACAGACTGTAATTCGGACAATGAGAAGATTATCTCATTATTGTTGATGTAAGACGGGACTGGAATGGGTGGGCATATTGTATATTCATTAGGGACAAAAGGAGGAGCTAACATATCAGAGAAGACTTCTAACCATGGTAAAGAGTTATCAGAAATGTTGGAATCAGAAAGAAGGGAGCCCCGAAATTTTTTTATATTTTTCCAAACTATTGTTACTGGTGAATTAGGGGACAAATATTCACAAAATTTTTTCCATCCATTTTTTTTCTTTTTGGAAAGTAGTCTCCTTGTTTGAGCGGAGGTTTTTTGAAATTGTATAAAATTATCGGTTGTCATACAGTGATTATAAAGCTTTTCTGCAGCTTTTCTCCTTTTAATCATAGTGGTGCACTCAGCATCCCACCATGGAGGGGAGGATAGGTTCTTGCTGTGGGGTTTTTTGGATGGGATAAATAAGTCAGCTGCTTCAGTTATATATTGTACCAATAGAGAGTACGAAGTTATTGGGTTGGTTGAGAAGTCAACCTGCATTTGCGCAAATTTAGTATCTAAAAATTTAGTGAAATTAGTCCAATCTGCGTCTTGGAGCTTATATTTAAGGAGGGGCATAGTAAAGGGTAAAGGAATAACCGCATTGGGTTTGGTAATAAGAATGGGAAAGTGATCACTTCCATATGATTGATTGAGGGTTTTCCAAGAAAGCTGAGGGGCTAGACTAGGAGAACAAGCTGTTAGGTCGACAGCAGACCTAGGGTCTAGTCCTGGGTATACTCTATGAGTGGGGTAACCATTGTTGATAATGCAAGCATTAATGTCTTCAAAAATTTGTATAAGTTCTGAAGAGTATATGTCACAAAAATGTGACCCCCAAGATACATGATGTGAATTAAAATCACCGGTAATAATAAAAGGGGGAGGTAACAAAGAGAAGAGAGAGGATAGTTCTTGAATTAAGTGGGTATTTGGATGAGGGATATATATTGAAATAATGTTGATTCCTGCAATTTTTGCAGCTACGGCATTAATGTGTTGGCTATGAGGAGGGAGTGCAATTTGAGAGAAGGGTAGGGATTTTTTTATGAGTAAGCAACAACCACCATAACCATCATTTCTATCTTCACGGAGGCAAGTAAAGCCTTGCAAGCGAAATTTGGAGTTAGGTAGGAACCATGTTTCTGAAATTGAAGCAACAGAAATTGAATGTTTATTTATTAGGAAGATGAGATCAGATTTTTTAGGTTGCAAGCTTCTACAGTTCCATTGAAGGAGATGGAGGTCTTTTGTTTGAGTCATTTATATTATCTATTAAACTAGCTAAATTAAAGATTTTTTCTGCAACGTTGTTCGGTAGTGAATCTGACATTTTCAAAATTAAATTATTGAGGAGGGAAATTAGGCATTCAACAAGATTTTCATTTGGAGATATTTGGTTGTGCGTGTTGGATAAAGCGCATCCATTTGGAGTAGAGGATGGGCA